TGCAGATTAATAGTTAAGCACACAGCTTTCATTTGTTTTGTTCAAGTGGTGTGATTGACATTTTGTCCCTTGGCTCATGTCCAAACACATCTACTGCCATTTTAATTTAAAATATCTCCCTATATCCCCTTGTTGAAGCACTGCAGAAACCTAATATTCAAGTGACTCCACATTTTTCCAGTCTAACACCTCTTTACCTGGACTCACGTCCAATAGCTGCTGCTGTTCTAAGTGAATATAATCCCCATTTAGGGATTGTTTTGGTTATAGTAGAATAGGGCTGCAGTGCAGTGACTTGCTTTTCTGTCAGTCTGCCACGATTCTCCCTGGGTTCACATCCAAAGACTGCTACTGCCACTGTTCTGACTGATTTAAAATCCTTTTTCCCAGTCTGCCACTTCGCACCTTGGGCTCACGTCTAAAGACTGCTGCTTCTGTGACAGAATGAAATTAGTTTCTGCCAGTCTGCCACCTCTGTCTGTGGGCTCACATCTGAAGGATGCTGCTTTTCGGAGTGAATTTTATTCCCATTAAGGGGTTGTTGGGAAATAGTAGGATATATATATATTTTTAAACACCTTAGACACACCCAGGTAATGCCTAAATTCTGTACTGTTATTTGTGCCTCGAGGAGAGGGTTGAGGAGCACTGCTCTATAGGGTAGAATCCGGAATGCAAAGAAACCAATATACAGGTGATATTCAAAAAATTTGAATATCGTGCAAAAGTTCATTTATTTCAGTAATGCAACGTAAAATCATTGCACTTATGACAAATCATGGCTTGAACTATCTTGCTTTGCATGTAATGCGTCTATCTCATATATTAGTTTCCCCTTTTACGTTGCATTACTGAAATAAATGAACTTTTGCACAATAATCTAATTTTTTGCGTATCACCTGTACATACACAAATATAGGCAAAATATAGGTTTATTGATACTTACAAGGAAGACAGTTAAATAAAACAAACACCGATAACTGAATTTAAGAGTAGAGCCTCTTGATACAGGGAACTCAGGAGAGGCCACAGGATACAGGGGAGCACAGGAACACAGGATAGATATGAAAAATAGATTTTATAGATAAAAAGGAATTGCTTTATTATGACCAAGTCACCTGCTTATATACACAACCCTCAGCAGGGGATCTCCACACAATACAATGCAAGCCCCTCCCAAAGATCTCTGTGCCTTGGAGATAATTGAGTTAATGACTGGTAAGCTAATTATCTCCCAGGAAGAGAGAGGCAAACACAAAAACATAAAACATAAAAATACCCCAAAATATCACAGAAATATACAGTAATCCCACACAACATATATCCCAAAAAGCCCTGATCTGAGACCCAAGTTCTTCAAACAGCGCTCAAACCTGTGCAGTGTAGGAGAAACGCCACTGTGTTAAAGTTCTCACCAGCCGCGCAAGTGGTCCCATGTCCAATATAGTGCCAGGGAGTTTGGTGCTATTGCAGGTCAACTTTCAGGAGCTCCTGTGGCCGCAATACAGGGTGCTCCGCCTAGCTCTCAGGTAGCGTTTGTTCCCTTTAGTCTCAGGCACCTTCCCTCAAAAAGCTGTCTCCTGGCGGGTTGCAACGTGGTTCAAAACCGCATGGTCACCTCATGCCGAAAACAGTTCCACAACATTCGCGGGTAAGTACCGCTGAGGGACCCATGAAGTCCTAATGCCGTAATTAGTTCTATAGCAGTCATGGCTAAATATCGCTGAAGACCATTCGTGGGTTTATTCATGCACACGGCTGCCAGGAAGCAAGAGTTCAGTTCCATTCGAATGAAGGGAAAGTGCCAAACCACGGGCACAGAGGGAAAGCTGCTAATGGCGGCTGTGTAGGGTAACTCCTAATGGCGGTCTCCAACCCGGACAATAGTCGGTGTACAGGATGCCAGTTTTCACACTCCTCCAGGAGTTCTCGGCAAGCGTTCGTAGGAAGGAGCGCTTGTCACATTAGCTACTGCTGATTGTCATTGCACATTGTTGCCTAGTTTGTTGTCTATAACAATTCCCAAGTCATTCTTGTGTTTTCCATAACTCACTACCATTTAGAGTTTAAGTTGCCTGTTCATTCTTTCCCCCGAGGTGCATAACTTTCCATTTATCTACATTGAATAACATCTGCTATTTGAGTGACCAGTCTGCTAACGTTTTTCTTTTTACTTTATTTAATTTATTTTACTTCGCTTTTCATTAATCCCATCTGTAATAATTTCTTTCCACTAGAGATTAATGATTGATTGAAATGAGTTAGCTTCACTAAAATTTTAACCAACTTTTGGCCGAAAAGTATAGACATGTGACTGAAAATGATCAAACTGAAGAAAAAAAAACTCTATAACTGAATTACTGACAACACCAAAAATATTCTCCATGCACATGTCTATTATTACATAAAAGCACTTTACCTGTTCGTCTAGTAGTGTGTGAACAGGAACAGCTGTACATCTACCCTCCAACTCTATTGTCACTGCTCTTACTGAACGTGCATTGAGAAGGCCATACTGATGATGGATCATAGCATCCTTAATCTATAGGAGCTGAACACAATAGTCAATGTTGCATGGTGAACTAGTGATTATAGGCCTGTAATGTAAGAGAAAAATACCAGGTGCTTGAACCCAAAAATAATTTCATAAGCTCCTTCATAAAGTAATATGCCCGACCCTTTTTCTTTTCTGCAAGCTAGGAACTTCTGCTAGCTTTGCTAAGTAAAGCCATGTAGTGTGAAAAAGGGGGTGAAAAGGTACTCCTTGTTCCATAACCACTATAGCACAGATATAGTGTTTATGCTGGTTAAGGTGTTCCTTAACTGGTTTGCCACTGTGGCGGTATACCCTTGTTACTAGTGCCTAGGTCAGGCATAGGCAACCTTCAGCACTCCAGATGTTTTGGACTACACCTCCCATGATGCTTTGCCAGCATTATGGGTGTAAGAGCATTATGGGGGATGTAGTCCACAACATCTGGGGTGCCGAAGGTTGCCTACCCCTGGCCTAGGTTATCCCTTCCCAGTTGTGAATAGCTCCAGAGTGATTATACCCTCCTGCACAGGATACTGCTGTCTCAGCCAAACACTAGTTGAGACTTAGTGAAGGGTGAAGAAGAACTGTTTTATTAGGTCAAGGCACACCAAACTTATACACAGACCCCCAGCATGAGGCTTCTATTCAATAAAGCACAAGCCCGTCCAAGTATCTCTGTGTCTGGGAGATAGCTCTCATTTAAACTAATTATCTCCTGGATACAGAAAGCAGAACACACAAAAACCCTGAAAATACATATAATATAGTGAAGCACTGGCCATATTTCCCTGGAAAGTTCTCTCTGGAGCGCTCATTCTGTCCAAAAAGCACTGGGATAGGACATGGCTAGCCAACATTATATGGAAGTCAAAAGTTCAGCAAGGCGCAGCTAACTTCTGATCCGTCGCAGAGTTCCAGAGTGCTTGGTAGAGTTTCCCGGTCACCTTAAAACATGGCACTTTCTGTGAATACAAGGAGCTCCATCAAGTCCTAGGTGTCATTCAATGGGTGTCCACCTCCTCCGCTAACCCTCCAAAAAGCGATCTGATTGAATGTGCTGGGACTGAAAGCGCTCTTATCAAAGTTTTAGCAGACCGCAGTACTCTTGCTATCTGGTTTAGAGTTCCAGCATGATTTCAAGTAATTCCCGGTCAGTCGCACCATGTCTCTACACCCTTCCCGACGTAAGATAGATAGTTCTGGGTAGTCCATAGTGATGTGGTCCTTATGGAGGAGGTGTCAGGTTGGGTCCTGTATCCCGGTTTGGTGACCAGGTGTTCCGTCACAGCTACAAATTGTAAATCTAAATCAAAAATATGTACTAGTGCAAAAAATAATAAAATCCAAAAAAGTTAAACAGTAAAACAACACAAAACCAAAATCGCTATACACCACAAAATAAAAATGTCTTTCTACCAAAAACACCAAAACAATATTTGCAATTCGTGGAAAGTATCTTCATATAAGAATATGTGATAATGCAATCTCAAAAAACACAAACATAAAAAAACATAGTGTTCAAGTACAATATAATTACAAATGTAATAAATATAATTGTTGTGCACACTCAAAAGGGTAGAGGCAAGACTGGACTCTCAATTAAAACACCTATGGTTTGTATATAGCTACCAATCAGCTACTTTTATGTGTTCTTATTCCGTTTTAGTAAAATGCACCTTCAACTTTGTAGTCAAGCAAACTTGCACCAGACATGCGTTCAGTTACCATATAGCTTCCTCCACAATCATGGTTTACTAATTGTCCTTTTGTTTAAAGGGACACTATAGACACCATGATCACTTTAGGTGCAGTGTCCCTGTCCCCTTAACCTTGCAATCAGAAAAGCTGCAATGTTTATATTACAGGTTAGAACTGCCTCAAGTAGCTGTCTACACAAAGTTTAATTCAGTGAAACGGCACTGGAGACCCTCGTGCTTTGCATTTTAAATTCCCCATAGGAAAGTACTGACTATATGCTGACTTGGAGGAGGCGGAGATGAAGCCAGGCCGAGGGACTTCGGCACTGGAATAAGATGAGTGTTTCAAAGGGGTTGTAATCTGTTAATTGCCATAGTAGGAGGGGGTGGAGAGGGACACTACAATGTTAGAAATACAGCTTTGTTTTACTAACACTATAGTGTTCCTTTAATATTACACATTAGTTCACCATGCATTCGGGCAGCACATAAAAAACTGAAAAACAGTATACGATTTATTAGTTTTCCTCTGCCAACAAATTAGTTCTTTGTTTAGTCAGTCAGTGACTTCCATGTGCTGCACAGCAGGAACAAATTGCACGTTTAGCTTGTTGATAGATATTTAACAAAATAAATACTAAAATGTCCCTGTTATTTTCTATTTTTCATCCTACCCACCGTGTGTGTGTTTTATCACACAGCTCCCAGGTGCTCTCAGGGCAAAGTTTACTTTTGTGACCAGGAAGTAAAAGGCAGCATGAGGTAAGGGAGCTTCTGTAGGAAAAATAAGTTCGGTCATGATCTAACAGTAAGTTGTCGGAGGTAAGTGAGATTCTATCGTGAGGAGTCAAAGGTTCCTTTTAATTTGTGCATTGGACAAAAAGCAGATGGAATGCCTTTCCTGTAGACTAGCACCTCCAATGTGTATTTAAAAATGAACAGTATAAATGCAGAATTGTTTTAGCTCAGGGTAAGTGTGATTTTATGTATAGTCAATAATCAGGTTTAAAGTGTCTGTGTCCTCAAATATAGCCAGCCTATGCATCATAATCAAAAAATGTATGTAGGCCAAATTAGCTTTTTTTTTTTAAGCAGCCGTAATTTTCATTTTTGGGCTTTCTATACCAAATTAAGTTTTGTCCAACTTGAAAACAGGAAAAAAAAATTCTCTCTCTTTTCCCCATACAAAGCTGATGCCTCTGACTATCACTACACACATTTTGGCTCACAATAGGGCTGCTCTCAGTTTATAAAGCAGTTCTATTAATTTAAAGGGACACTATAGTCACCCAGGCCACTTCAGCTCAATGAAGTGGTGTGGGTGCCAAGACCCTCAGGTTTTAACCCTTCAGATGCAAACATATCAGTTTCAGAGAAACTGCTATATTTACATTTGGGGTTAATCCAGACTCTAGTGGCTGTCTTCCGGACAGCCACTAGAGGGGCATCTGCGACGCTGGATGCAAATTTTGCCTCCATCACGCAGAGCATCCATAGGAAAGCATTGAGAAATGCTTTCCTATTGACTCTTTGAATGCGCATGCAGCACTTGCCGCGCATGGGCATTTCACTCCACTAGGGAGCTGACGTCGGACGGGGAGGAGAGGTCACCAGCGCCGAGGGAGCCAAGCGCTGGGTAAAGGTAAGCTGCTGAAGGGGTTTTAACCCCTTCAGCGCCATGGGAGGAGGACCCTGAGGGTGGGGGCACCCTCAGGGCACTATAGTATCAGGAAAACCGCTTTGTTTTCCTGACACTATAGTGATCCTTTAAAAGAAATGTTTATAGGATGACTATGATAAAGACCTGGTAGGGTGGAAACGTTGCTTCTTTTGCCCCAGTAAAGCTGCTATTTCTGTAATCCCGGAATGCTTGAACCATTATTTATTCTGCATATAGGATAAGAATTACTTCATGATCAGGATAAGTTCTGCCTGTTTCTGACACTCATTGCGCAGTAATAACTTTTAAAATATATATATTTTTGCATAACTTAAGAGGAGGGGTGTCATCTCCCTTCACATCAGGTAACAGCACATGACAGGTGTGTCCCCTCATTCTGTTATTGTTTGCTTAATTTCTAGAAACTCTCCCACATAGGATTCAGCCAAACCCAGAGTAGTAGGATCTTGTAGTAGGTTGGGAGGGGCAGTGTGCATGGGCGTAGGAATCAGGGGAGATAGGGGGGCGCATCCCCCCCAGCAAATCATGCAGGGGGGATAGGTTATAGAGAAATCCCCCCCCCCCAGTTCCGCCGGCCCCGGGTGGCTCCATCAGGGAACCGCATGCACTGCAGACTGGGAAGAGGAGCACCTCCCCTTCCGCGCAGGAGCGCCGGGTGTCACGTGACTACCCGCGCTCAGTCTGACACTGCGCCCGCCAGACGTTCAGAGGTCCCCCTGCTATGTCAGGTAAAAGGGGGGGGAAACAGTTTGTAGGGGGGAGAGCAGAGCCGGTCACTTCTAAAAAACAAACAACAAAAAAACAGCTGCCTAAGCATTTTTAGTGTTAATTAATGGAAGGGTTAAAGGGGTGAGGTAGAAAAATGAATGTAATGGGTTAGGGGGGCTTCTAATATGGATGGGAGGAAGGGGGAGGAAGAAAAAGATTTGGAAGGGGTTAGGGGGTCTACTAATATGGATGGGAGGAGGGGGAAGGTAGAAAAATAATTGGAATGGTTTAGGGGGGCTTCTAACATGGATGGGAGGAGGTAAAAAAATTATTGGAATGGGTTAGGGGGGCTACTAATATGGATGGGGGAGAGGGGTAGGTAGAAAAATAATTGGAAGGGGTTAGGGGAGTACTAATATGAATGGAAGGGGTAGGGTGAGTTCTAATATGCATGGAAGAGGTTAGGGGGGTTAATATGCATGGAAGGGGTAGGTGGGGTTCTTATGTGCATGGAAAGGGTAGGGGTGGTTCTAATATTCATGGAAGGGGTAGGTGGGGTTCTAATATAAATGGAAGGGGTAGAGACGGGTAGTAAAATGTATGGAAAGCACTTCTGAAAGTGTGACTGAATGGCAGTTAGGAAATGTGGTCACCCTAAGTCAGGGGCAGTATTACACAATCTGTATATGTATAAAAAAAAATATAAAAAGTAATCTGCAAAGAAAAAAAGGTTTGTGTCAAATGTCGTGCTAAAAATTAAGCTAGGAATGTGCAATTTAAAAAAAATACTTTTTAGAATAATGATACAGACATTTTACTTTTTACATTTGTGATGATTCTTTTTCCCCCTCTATTTTCAAGGGACACTATAGTCACCAGAACCACAACAGCTAAACGTAGTAGTTCTGGTGTCTATAGCATGTCTTTGCAGGCTTTTTAATGTAAGCACTGCCATTTCGTAAAAAGGCAGTATTTACATTACTGCTGAGGAATACCTCTATTGGACACTCAGATGGCCACTAGAGGTGCTTCCTAGTGGAGACATGAATGCTGCCCTATGAAGTATCTGCGCATGTGCGGCAAAGCTGCGCATGAGCACCAGGGAGCAATGACGCTTCTGAATAGAAGTGTTTTATTGCTCCCTGCTCGCACCCTTGTATTTCGTCATTTTGACGAAATAGGGGGCGCGGCATCAGGAGGATCCCGGCGCTGTATCTGGGTAAGTAAATCCCCTTCCCTGTAGTGACCCTTTAATGTTATTATTTTATCATTTATATAGCGCCAGCAAATTCCGTAGCACTGTACAATGGGATAAACAACTCCTAGTTTACGGAATAAAAATATACCCGGCGAGTAAAAATGATATCCCCCCCAGATTTTTGGAGGTTCCTACGCCCATGGCAGTGTGCAAAATTGTTGCCTGTGGCGATGACATCATCGTTCACCAGATTAACATACAAGCAGTGCCGCTGGAGGTCTTCTTAAAAGCACAATCGACACACATACAGCATTTCAGCTTGCTTAAGTGCTCAAAATGTCTGGAGTCTGTCATGACAGTTTATAAAAGTGCTGATTTCATAAAAAAAAATAAAAAAATTCTGCACTTTTATACTTAGGGGGAAGAAACACCTCTCTGGTGGTCAGACAGCCAGGGAGATTTTCTTCCTCTTTGGATAGCTCCACAGATGTAAGCAGCAGTTCACTGAAAAACATAGGGAATTTTGGCTCCAGCACCAGGGGGGAAATGGGATGGCTTGCAAAGGTGCATACAATAGGTATGCATCTTCTGCAAACTGTTTTTTAATGTACCACCAAAGAAAACGTGAAAACAATGCTTATTGTCCCCCCCCCACGTTCATTAATTCCTATTTTCCCTTCTTGTTCTCTACCCCTTTCTTATTCTTTCTAACTTGAAAATTTATGAGCGTGAGTATGAATTTTAAGAGTAATAAAACTTAATCTACTGTATTGTTTTATGTAATTTAAGCTGTTATGAGCACAGGAGTGTACACATATCTTGAGGTACTGTGCCCTGTCGTGGTTTTCCCTTTGTGGTTATTTGAGAGTGCACTTACTTATTTATAATGGCTTATCTGACCTTGGCTTATACCTTGACCATTCTCCATTCTAGTGTCCTTGACCTTTGGCTTGTCTATGTGTTTATGTTGCTCTATTTCCCTAACTTGTATCTAACTTCTCTATATTGCGTTAAGTCCAGCCACTCGAAGGCCCAGTAATATGCTTGATTTTACTATTCCTGTCGCGCTTTACAATATTATGAAGGGGGGGGGGGGAGTTACAGTAAATGAGACAATCAAACAGTGACACAGCAACGGGATGGTTAGATTAGAACTAGCCCTCAGCTGAGGCTTATTATTCAGTATGCATGATTCCTTCTAGCTTTCAGGAATTGAGTTTCCTATGAAGTACTGTAAAATAGAAATTAACACAGTTCGCGATGTGTCATGAGAATGCTTTAAAAAAATAAATAACTCCATAACTCTAGTTCTCTGACGGTGGGATTGTGTCAAGAGACAGATGTCTTGATGTCATTACATTTGCAGTATCTTTGAAGAAATTGCTCTTAAACTACCTATTTCCAAAAGGGCATAACAACACAGTCTTAATGACCAAAAAGGATAAGACAACTTTGTTATGTTTTTTTTTTAGCTAACCTGAGGGCATGAGAACCCTTTGGAGGGAGTGAGAAGAGCTCTTTTTTAAGACATAGCGCTCTATGTGCTGCTATGGAGCAACTCTTATACCTACATTTCTGTTTGCTGGACAGAACAGCATTATGTAAACCTCACTCGTGCTGCCAAAACTGCTCTTTTGCGTCAAGGCATGGATTCCACAAGACCTCTGAATGTGTTTCTCAAAGCATTCCTGGACAATTTTTGCTTTGTGGCAGGGTGCATATCTAGGTAAGTGGTATGTAGTATGGATTGGAAAACTGACAGGTTGTATATGTTAAAGTAACATCCACATGAATGCCAAGGTTTCTCAGCAGAACATTGCTCAGAGCATAAACCTGGCCATCCACCTGATCTAAATGAAAACTTGTTCATCAGACCAGGCAAACTTCTTTCATTGCTCCATGGTCCACTTCTGACACTAACATCATCCCATTGAAGGCACTTTTGGCAATAGACTAGGGTCATCATGGGCACTCTGTACGTGGCAACACAGACATATACGCAGCAAACTGTGATGCACTGTGTGTTCTGACACAAGCATTAAGTTTTTCAGCAAATTGAGCTACAGCAGTTTTTGCTCCCCATGTGCATCAGTGAGGCTTGGGCACCCATAACTGATGCCGATTCATTAGTTGTCCTTCCTTTCCTCAGTTTTGGTAGGTACAAACCACTGCATACCAGGAACATTCCACAAGACTTGCCGTTTGGAGATCTGACCCAGTTGTCTAGACATCACTATGTGGCCCTTGTCAAATTCACTCAGATTTTTTGTTTGCCCATTTTTCCTTCCTCCAACACATGAAATTCAAGAATTGACTCTTCACTGGCTGCCTAATATGTCCCACCCCTTGACTGACTGGTGCCATTGTAACAATATAATCAATGCTATTCACTTCACCTGTCAGTGTTCTTAATGTTGTGGCAGTAAGGGAGAAGAATTGGCCAATTCTTTTTTTTTTTTCTTCACTTCAGAAAATATGATAATAAATTAAAGCTGTAAGTTATTTGGAGAAGCTTATTCATAAAAGGTTTTGACAAATAAAGGCTAGTTTCAGATTGGAGGGGGCAGAGAAAAAAAAACAATGGGATAAGAGTATGTGTCTGGGAACAGTGTATGTGTGAGTTGGAGCACTGTCAGAATTCAAAGTGAATTTAAAATTTTGGGCCAAAGTAGCCAAACTGGAGGCATAGCTGACTTAGACATTTTTTTCAGTTCTTCTACTTTGGCTTTACATTTAAAATTCACTTTGAATTCCCAACTGTTCTCATTTTTGTAAAATACCCTGTTTGTGTGTTTGGGAATCTCGTACATGTGAATGTCTCTATGCTGAATTATCTCTTTCTGTATGTCCAATTATTGGGGTTTGTGAGCATATCTCTCTATTTCTAAATCAACAATCAAAAGCCAGAAATAAAACAGGCAATTGTCCCACTGACATCATACTTAAGATGTATCCCCACAATACATCCCTATTAAGCCAAAGAGAAAGGTTTGATACTAGAATAAATCACCACAAACAAGCAAGTGTTGGTGGGTTAAATAAAAGAAAGAAGAAAAAGCAGTGATGGGGTTCAAACAGTGCTATTGCTCCTCAGCAGATCTTTCTAAATTCCATTTAAACAGTGGAATTGCCTGTATTTGTTTACTACAACTGTGATTTTGGTTATTGGGGGTGCTCTGGTGCTTGCACTGAAACTTTTATTATCGTGCTGATCGTCTCTGATTCCCTGGTGGCATACTCGCCCTTGTGGGCTCTCCTGCTGTCTGGAACATCTTGACATTCCATCAAGCTTCCACCCATCTGGACCGGTGGAGGTCATCCCAGTCCCAGGAATCCACTACCTAACTCGTCCCACATTGCAGTGACAATGGTACTTGCGGCCTGCCCTATACCTTCATTATGGGTGGCAGCCAGTATGAGCAGACTGGATGCCATATTTAACGATTTCATATGTCAGATATCAAATAGGCAGCGGAGCTTAGAATGCTCCATTTCATCAGAGTACAGATGAGACAGTGTCTGGCAATTGCCCACTTCAGGCTGCCTCCTCAGGAGCAGTCATTGGGATAGATTCCCAGCAGAGTCAGATGAGTGCATAGGATTCAGGTCCTGTGCATTCTTCCTGTTCTGCAAATTCAGAATGTGTGACTATTCCTCGTCAGGGCCCTATAAGAGCTGCAGAATTAGACTTAGAATTAGACTCAGACGCCTCCAATGTTGTGCTGTCTGCCAATTCTCTAGGTGGCTGACTACCCCATGCATATAAGCGGATCTCTCCTACACTTCCACTAGCCGCAGATTGGGTGTTGCTTTCTCTAAAACGTTAAATATCTGTGACATGTGCAGCTTAGATTAAAGGAACACTATAGGGTCAGGAACACAAGCATGTGTATAGTGTAAAACACACTGCCCCCCACCCATTTGCCCCACTAAATATAGTAAAATCTTACCTTTATTGCAGTCTGCTGGTGCTTTTCTGTGAAAAGATAGTGTTTACTGCAAAAAGCTTGCAGAGACATGCTCTACTCACCAGAACAACTACACTACTAAGCTGTAGTTGTTCTGGTGACTATAGTGGACCTTTAAGTGTGGCTAGATGTTTACCTCTCCTTATAAAATGCTTACTTAGTGGCTACTATATTGGTTTCAGCTCTAACCTGTTCATAGGTTACTAATTTTTTTTTCTTCCATGTTTAGTTTTTTTATTGAAAGTTTCATGCACGTTACATAGTAATTTCCCATTTACTGTCTATGTAGTCATCACAGACCCAGGTGAATTTGGGGGATGTGCCCTTTAATCTATGCGTCAATACTACAAAATTTCTCTTGGTTGTGATAACGTTCTTCACTATTTGTAGCGATAGAATTGTCATCGTTTTCTAGTGTTTGGCATTTTTTGTAGTTCTGCGTGTCTCGTGGGATGGCACTTGGGATCATGTTGAAAAGGAGGCATTGTGGTGTAGGAGGGATCTTCCATTCGATAACTTTTGTTATGAGGTTTGCAATCGCTATTCATAAATTGCACATGTACACTCGATCATAGTTTTCCTATATATTCTATTGAAATTAGTCCTTTTATAAACTATAAAATGACAAACTCTAGACATACAAAGCACTTCAGCTAGCTGAAATAATTTGTGTGTGTGGAGTATTCCTCTATCTTAGCAAACTTCCTTATACATACACACACCCACAAACAAACTGCCTTATACATATAAACACACGCACTGCCTAATACATACATACACACGGGTATACGGCCAAATACACACACAGAAAGTGCCTTATAAATACATGCACACAAACTGCCTAATGCACGCACACACACACACTGCCTAATGCATACACTCACACACACGCTACCTCAAACACACAGACAAATGCCTCTTACTCACACACAAACTACGTCATCCCAACACACACTGTCTAATACACACACACATTGCCTAATACACACACACACACACACACACACACACACACACAAACTGTCTAATAGACACACACTGCCTAATACACAAACACCTTGCCTAAAAAACATACACGTACAAACCCCCACCCTCTCCACCCCCAGCTGCCCTCACTCGCATGCTCAGGAGTGGCATCTGGGGGCACAGGCTGCAGCCCAGTCACTCACTGTAGTACCTCTTCTGCTGACATGGTTGCAGTCTGTTAATAGGCCCTCCACTTCCTCAGGCAGTCCAGGACCATGACAGGGGGAGCAGAACATGACTGTAAGCTCTGCCCTTGTGCTGCCCCTTCTTCTAAGGATCTAAGGTGAGTGTAGGTAGGGTTTTAGGAGGAGGGGGCAGAGACAGACTGGGGGCGAGGATAAAATGTTTGGGGCGGGGAAAGGCAGGATCCGTTACTTGAGGGGAGTGGTTAATGATTTGTGGGCGGGTATGGGGGGCAGGATTACTGGCATAATAGAGAAGGTCTCTGAAAACATTGTAAAGAGCCTACTTGTCAGGAGGATGGTAGAAGCAGTGAGGGGAGGGTGCTGCCGGCTGCTATCACAGTGTGAGGGGCACACGGCAGCATATACTCATGGAGTGTTCAGATGAATATTACAGCTCCTGCTGGTGCCACCCTCTTTCAGAGTGCCTTAGGCCACTGCCTAATTGGCCTAATGCAAGCGCCGGCCCTGAAGGCATGTATGCTTATATATGTGGCTGGGCATTTATATTTGTGTATATGAGTTCATGTGCATGTATGTATATGTGTTCAATATGTTCAATAAATTATATAAACAAATTAAATTTGAAAGATTTGCAGTTTAATATTTTGAATAGATGGTACTTAACACCGAATCATTTAAATAAAATATACCTAAATACGTCCGACCGATGTTGGCGGTGCAATACTGATATTGCAACCTATATATATTTACTGGAAAGATATAATTACACTAATTGACCTTATGACAGGCAATAAACTGGCAATGGAGCTGGGAATAATTCTATTAAATTTAAATAAGTCACAAGTGAAGATAAAGGATTCAATGTTAATTTTACATATCATCACAGCAACTAAATTACTGATAGCACGGAAGTGGAAAGAAGTACTAACCCCATCTATACGAGAAGTGATAAAAGAAGTAATTTGGCAAGCAAAAAATGGAAAGAGGCATTTTGGTGAGCTTAAAAAACCGTCACACGCAAATAGAATATTGGGACAACTGGATAGATAAATTAGAATTTTTTTTAAAAACGCCATAAAGGGCCTCTCAAATAGAGAAACTGAATGGAACTGGGAAACAGATAAGATGAATGGTATATGTAATGTGTTGGCAATAAAATAGGAACATATGGATTAATCGGGCGTACAATAAAACTTAACAAAATAGTTGACAACAGTAGTTTGATCAAAGAGCCTAAAGGGCTCTCTCTCTCTCTGTCTACAAATAAAGATAAGGTACATTAGATAAGTGAGTTTATTAGGGTTATGATAGTGATAATTAGGATAGGGATGGGGAGGGGGTGGGAGGAAATAGGGAAATAAAGGAGGTAATAAAGATTAATCCCATTGTTTTTTTTCTTCTCTCCTTCCGTGGGAGAAATGAATAGAAGAAATATTGTATTAGTGATGATAGAGAGACCTTTATGTTACGCACACTTTGTTATAGTTTTAATAGCTATACAATGCTAAGGTACCTATCTGAAATATTTTTTAAAAAAGTATATGTGTGTATGTATACAGTCATTGATCATAAAATGTGATCTGATCATCATCTAAATCACAACAATAGACAATCACAGTCTGCTTAAACTAATAAAACACAAACAATGAAATGTTGCCATGTTTTTATTGAACACACCATGTAAACATTCACAGTGCAGGTGGAAAAAGTATGTGAACCCTTGGATTAAATAACTGGTTGAACCTCCTTTGGCAGCAATAACTTCAACCAAACGTTTCCTGTAGTTGCAGATCAGACGTGCACAACGGTCAGGAGTAATTCTTGACCATTCCTCTTTACAGAACTGTTTCAGTTCAGCAATATTCTTGGGATGTCTGGTGTGAATCACTTTCTTGAGGTCATGCCACAGCATCTCAATCGAGTTGAGGTCAGGAATCTGACTGGGCCACTTCAGAAGGCGTATTTTCTTCTGTTTAAGCCATTCTGTTGTTGATTTACTTCTAAGGTTTGGGTCATTGTCCTGTTGCAACACCCATCTTCTGTTGAGCTTCAGCTGGTAGACAGATGGCCTTAAGTTCTCCTGCAAAATGTCTTGATAAACTTGGGAATTCATTTTTCCTTCGATGATAGCAATCCGTCCAGGCCCTGACGCAGCAAAGCAGCCCCAAACCATGATGCCCCCACCACCATACTTCACAGTTGGGATGAGGTTTTGATGTTGGTGTGCTGTGCCTTTTTTTCGCCACACATAGTGTTGTGTGTTTCTTCCAAACAACTCAACTTTGGGTTCATCTGTCCACAGAATATTTTGCCAGTACTGCTGTGGAACATCCAGGTGCTCTTGTGCAAACTGTAAACGTGCAGCAATGTTTTGTTTGGACAACAGTGGCTTCCTCTGTGGTATCCTCCCATGAAATCCGTTCTTGTTTAGTGTTTTACGTTTTGTAGATTCGCTAACAGGGATGTTAGCATTTGCCAGTGACTTTTGTAAGTATTTAGCTGACACTCTAGGATTCTTCTCCACCTCATTGAGCAGTCTGCGCTGTGCTCTTGCAGTCATCTTTACAGGACGGCCACTCCTAGGGAGAGTAGCAGGAGTGCTGAACTTTCTCTATTTATAGACAATTTGTCTTACCGTGGACTGATGAACAGCAAGGCTTTTGGAGATACTTTTATAACCCTTTCCAGCTTTATGCAAGTCAACAATTCTTAATCGTAGGTCTTCTGAGAGCTCTTTTGTGCGAGGCATCATTCACATCAGGGAATGCTTCTTGTGAAAAGCAAACCCAGAACTGGTGTGTTTTTTTTATAGGGCAGGGCAGCTGTAACCAACACCTCCAATCTCATCTCCTTGATTGGACTCCAGTTGGCTGACATCTCACTCCAATTAGCTCTTGGAGATGTCATTACTCTAGGGGTTCACATACTTTTTCCACCTGCACTGTGAATGTTTACATGGTGTGTTCAATAAAAACATGACAACATTTCATTCTTTGTGTGTTATTAGTTTAAGCAGACTGTGATTGTCTATTGTTGTGACTTAGATGATGATCAGATCACATTGTATGACAAATTTGTGCAGAAATCCATATCATTCCAAAGGGTTCACATACTTTTTATTGCAAATGTATGTGCATGTATATGTGTTCATGTTAGTCTAGAGAAACATAGTTAAAAAACTTGAAAGAAAAGAAAATGGTCTACCTAAATGACAAGAGATAATAACCACTGGATTGCCTGTTAAGACATGAGTGTCAACATAGTAAGTAGGTACCGCAAGCATTGCATGCGTATTGTGGGCTGGTTAGCTGATGCTGAGAGATGGGAGGCTGCAGATGCATAATTGCCAGAGTCCATTTAGCCTTGTGTGGGGACCCCACCAGTTATGGGTGCCAATGCACTCCTGTGTTTTTCTGCCAGGGCTCCGGTAAGGACCATCACCCGGCTCAGGGCTTCTGGGTCCCTTCGGCACGCGGCCGACCTCTCTGAGCGGGAACCCTCTGACGCCGCGACTTGTGCGCATAGATGTGGCTCCAACCAGAGTGCCGTGCTGTGAAGTTGCCGTTGGGTGGCATGTTAGCCTGGTGGTGTTGATGTGTAGGCTGCAGGACCTGTGTCACAATCTTCCCTTTCAAGACTCTGCGTATGGTGCACTTTGGGTACTTCATCTAGTATTTGCTTCTAACATACCTGGGCTCAATCTGGACGTGCTGATCCCTTGGTGAGGCATTTGCTTGTCTGCTTGTCATCTTGGTCCAGAATCGGGCACAGATTCTGTTGAATGCTTGCATCCATGTCTCTGCACCCAGAGATGGTTGACTTGTGTTGGAGCACCCTCTTAGAAGTCAGACATCTTGCAGATGTTTTATAAAGTCCACAAGAGTAAGTCGGGGGGATCACCGGTAGGGACCGGGAAAACCCTGAATGGTCCGCAGGGGGGATAGGCAGTATTCCGAGGTCACACGGACAGCTGAAGAGTGAGGAAAGCGGCCCCCTCTCCCCAGGTCTGTCACGAGTAGGCCTTAAATCTCTGTGTCAGGTTGTTTGTGTCAGAAAGTTGCTAGTGAGGTACCACCGGTACTTCCTCTGCTAAGACCACGGATGACTGCACTTAAAGTTGCTGTTAGGTTTAGAATTTAATCAGTTTATCAATGCCAAATGTGAGAGCCAGCACAGCACATGTCTTGTCTACTCGGCAGCCAGGCTCCGTCCTATATATATGTGTGTGTGTATATATATATATATATATATATAATATATTTTAAAAATAATTTTTTACATTTTCGGGTAGATCAAAGGAAACATAACAAAAAATGTCAAGTACTTTAGATATATGATACTCAGAGTTACAACTCAAATTATAGTCATACATGGTTCTGCAACATTCCTATTCTTTATTACTTCTTATTTTGCTAACAGAATGAGCAGTATGAGTGTAATACCTGCATCTAAGGGCATTTATATTGAGTATTGCATAGTACACAGTGAATAACTTGATTCATGTAGAATATTAACTGTAAACATTCAAAGGAGATAAAGTTTGTGGCGGTCTTATTCGAGTGAATTAGGTATTTCCTCTTTTAAGCATAAACCGATGATTTCAACGAGTACTTGGGTTCACCCTTTTCCCAATTCCACTTGAAGTATGAATAGTATGGCTGTGGGCAGTATCTTCAGGGAGAGGGGGGATTAAGCAGGGATAGCTTTGTACATTGATGAGAGGAAAGCGTAAAGTGATAGGGTACTGTAGTGAGAAAATGTGGGTCTCCGCTCAAGATAAACGGAGCAGGAAGGTAAGGGAGCAATGGGATTGAACACAGGGAGTCTCTTAGGAAGATAGCCCCGAGAAACAGTTTAAAGCAGCACTGTCATGCCGTATCCTGTTTTGGTTTTTTTTTAACCCCCCTCCGGCCTCCACTATCTCTAACTGACACCCTAGTCACCCCCAAATGCCCCTAAGCCCCCCATATTTTTTATTCCTTATTTTCTGCCCCGATCTATATTCAGGGCGCCGCCATCTTTGTGTGGGTAAATGAAGTCCCTGTGGGACACGTCATTTGCCCACACTAGATAAACTGTGAGATTCCCGCACATGCCCAGTGAAACACCTGGACATGCGAACGGGAATTTCATCCATTCATTCATTCGACAGACTAATGAGTGAATAGAAATGTCAGCCGAACAAACAAAACTGTGTATCAGTGTTCGTTTGTTCGTTCAGTTTATTACAAGGAGGGAGCTACCGGCTCGCAGCTCCCTCCTTGTAATATGTAACTATAGAAGCGGCAGGGAGCAGTGCTCCCCACCACTTCATAAGCCCCCCAGGTCCCCCCTCACTCTATGGCGGTCAATATGACCCCCATAATAGCACAAGGAGATTAAAATCTCCCCAATGCCCCTACTCGCTATACCGTTTTTTCTTTTTCTCCGTTTTTTTTTTTTTTGGCGCTCTGGATTTTTATTTTATTTTAAGTTCGACGGTTATGATGGTTTTTTATTTGGCCTTTTTTGGGGCTGAAAAATGAAGATTTGAGAAAAAAGAAGACGTTGAATGGTAAGTTTAATTTTAGTTTACAGGTTAGTTATTTTATTCCCCCCTCACTATTTTTTAGGTTGAGGGGGGTAGGATTTTTTATTTGGGTGGGGGGGTGGGTGACTAGGGGCTTAATGAAATTCTGATCCAAATAAAGTGCCGAATTGCGTTCTAAAAGAAACAAACATACTGTTCTCATTCAGTTAGAACGCAATTCGTTAGTTTTGTGTAAAATGACAGGAAGCATCGTGGGAACACAGAGGAAAGGTGAGAATTGTGGGAAAATTGCTCTGACCAGCTGAAATGAAGCACACTTTGCACCTCCGCTGGTCAGAGCTGGTCAGAGCTGGTCAAGCGGAGGAATCCTCCATAAGGCAAAGAGTCCCTACTTTGTCTTATGATTTTAAAGAAAACTAAAGAAGACAGGAAGAAAAGAATAACAGATCCTGAGAGAGGGGGAGAAGAGGAAGAGATTGATGAAAGGTAAGTTCGGCATGACAGTGCCGCTTTAATATGTGGGATAGGTCAGTGTTTGATAAGTGAACTGAGCTCATGCTAGTTTTCTCCATCCAGCCAAGGCTCCCAGACTTTGTGGAATGCTTTTGGAGTCTCGTGTAACTGAGCAGTTATTTTTTAAATACATTATCTACATAAATAAAATTATTTTTTCTTCAAAAAATGTAAATATGGGAATGAGACTCCTTCCCTAAGACATAATACAATGTAAAATAACTAATACAATTTGAGGTGTTTAAATACTGGTGATTCTTATCAACTTACTACAATATTTATTATACTTTAATTTTATTATACTCATTTGTCCATAGAGGTAATATGCATATCCTGAGCAATTCTGAATCACATTGCTGATTTAGTCTTTACAGTATATCTATTTATTACCGTTTCTGTAACATTGCAATTTCATGCATGACGACTCGTATATCCTTTTAAAATGAGATAATGTATTTTTTTTTTCCTTGTTCTGCAGCATAGTCAGCTGATCCAATTCTATAGTATCTTCTGACTAGATCTAAATCAGAGATACGCTCTACATTAATCCATTCAAGCACGCCTTCCCCTTTTATACTTTTTGTTTGAAATTACAGACAAGCAGAACAGCACTGCCATTTAAAAAAAAAAAAAAAGAACAGAAAAGAAGATAAAAAAACACTCCCAGATGAAAATTGTGCTCCACCCCCTGGCCATTTCCCTTTATATGTGCACAACACATCTGCAGGTCTTTCAGAATTTTTGGCTGACTCATGCTCATTGTCTAGTTGCAATCCTTGTGTAACATATTTATAGGAAAACAAGCTCCCACGAAAGGTGAGAATTTTACATTTTATTTTGTTTCTCTGAAGGCATTTTAAGCATATTGGCATTTTGTCATCTCTAAACGAACACGTTAGAAATACATGTTTGTGCATTTAAATGCAATATGGAGGTATTGTATTTGTAAAGAGAAATATGGTGCTATGGTCTAAAATTGTAGCAATCACCATGGAAACCATTACAATCATGGTAATTAATATATTTTTAGAACTTTGCCAAAAATTACTGTTTATACAAAAAACAGGTAAACTTGAAAAATGATTATACTTCGGTTAGAACCAATAAATATTTTGCGCACTTTTTGAAAAAAAGTCTCAGGCCAGTTGTAATTTAAATCTTAGCAAGGTACTACAGCACCTTTTAGCCCTGTCCAGGGTTATTTACTAAAGTGAGAATTGTCAAGAATTTAATGTGAATTTCAAATTTAAGTCCAAAATAGCTGAATTGGAAACATTCTCCTAGTTCTGGTAGGTTAGTTATTCTCCCGGTTAACACAATGAAAACCTGTAGTAAGGAATCTTTGTGTTGCATTCCCAAGATGAATGTGCTTAGTATTTTCTCTGAACTATTTCTTGGTCAAGTATTATTAAAGGGACACTATAGACACCCACACCACTTTATCTCAATGATGTGGTCTTGGCGCTATGTTTCCCCTGTTTTAACCCTGCAGTTGAAAACATTGCTGTTCTGCAGAATTGCAGTATTTTCATTGCAGGGTTTAAATGTCTCTAGTGGCTGTCACTTAGACTTCCAATGAAATAGCAGAGTATAACTCTCTAATTCTATTAGGTTATCTCTGATTGGTGCATTGTGGTGTTTTGCTGCACATGCACACTAGTCTCTCAATACTTTCTTACGGGAAAGCATTGATCTTAAAAATCTCCGCAAAGGAGGCTGGGCAAACCACAGAAACCGGAGCTGTGAAGGATAAAATTTAAGTAAAATGGCCTTTTTTTATCTCCCTGCAGGTGGAGGCTGGTCACCCAAATGACCACCAGGGTACTATATTTTTTGGAATACACATTTGTATGCAATGTGCACATATCTACTCCACTTCTCCATTGCTACCAACCTCTTTAAACTTGTAATGGTCCTATTCAAAACTACATAATAAAGAATGAATGTACTTATAACTCTATGTCTCCCTTGCTTAATGCAGCCATTGAATAGATAATCAAGTACTTGAGCATTAGATAGTTAATGATAGAGCTATGCAAAAATGTTCCGACAGTCTTTGTGCACATATGCATTAAACAGTATATATTTTTTTCTTTTCTGTTTGTAATTTAGCAGAGGGATTCGTGTTGATTATGATTGTAGTTTATGTCATAAAAGATGATCATAGGTTGTTAATTTTGTTATTTCCTCATGGTATTCTGTTAATTGCTTTTGAACCAATGTTGAATCAATGTAATGTACTCATTGTCTCAACAGATAACATGTTCCTTTGTAACAACTTCATACATACAAATGAATCTGTTCAAAATGTCATAAAATGAAGATAAATCAGAATGGAAAAGTAACCATTTTACTTTTATAGAAGCAAACATTACATTTTAAGAACACTACTTTTCAAGTGTTTTGCTTTCTCCCTGGTTAAAACACAAGTTTTCTGGTATTGCCACAATACCAGTTTGGCAAAAAACTGAATGAATGTAGAAGCAGCTTATTAGATAACATCAGACAATAACACAGGCATGAGAATAAAAAAAAAAGATGTTAATCCTGAAAAAAACATGGTGCTTTCTTGAAATCCCAAGATTTGTTTTATGCTGTTAAAATTTAGAAACACTTTAAAAATAAGTGTGAGAAGCAGCCAATGTAGGATACCCTTACCGACATGATCAAAGTATATTGTGCGATATCAGTCTGAAGTGATAATAACCTTTAACATGGAAAACCAAATTTTCACCTGTTTTAATGTTCTCCCTTTGTCTGGATGTTGTAGATGGCCAAATCATTTTTTTTGGTTGCAAACGTTTGTTATATCACTTCAGCCAATAGAAATCTGAGCCCACCAGCTGTTCTGTCCCCTACATTAGAGACTTAGCTGCTATTGAATTAGTATTTGGGGAGATGTATCAAGACAAAACAGATATTATTCTAAATAAAGAGGCAACCAATACAACTCAGCAGTTTGAACCTACAAATGGCACCTGGTTTGCCTTCATGAATCACCCTATTTTAAAGGGATTCTATAGTATTAGGAATACAAATCTGTATTCCTAACACTATAGTGCCTTCTGGTCCCCCTCCTTTAAAAAACCTTTATGTACTCACCTGATTTAAGCACCAATGTCCCTCAATGCTGAGTCAGTGCTCCACCTCCTCTCATATAATCTTAAGGGGAAGTGAAGGTAGGGGTAATATGAATGTGCGACGGGTGCATGTGTGGCAAACAAATGTGCGGTGTGCACATTAGGTCCTACCCATAGGAAAGCATTACTTTAATGCTTTTCTATGGGGATTTTACTGACACTGGATGTCCTCATGCAGAGCGTGAGGACATCCAGCATAAGTTAGGAAGTGCCTCTAGAGCAGTGATGGCGAACCTTTTTGAGCTCGAGTGCCCAAACCGCAAAGTGCCAACACTGCAATTCCACTCCCCCAGCATCTCCTTCTCCTCTCCCCCATTCTCCCCTCAGAATCTCCTCCTCCTTTCCTCCAGATTCTCCTCTTCCTCTCCCCCAGATTCTCCTTTTCCTCTCCCCTTCTCCCCCAGCATCTCCTCCTCCTCTTCCTCTCCCCAGCATCTCCACCTCCTCTCCCCCAGAGTCTCCTCTTCCTCTCCCCCAGCATCTCCTCTTCCTCTCCCCCAGCATCTCCTCCTCCTCCTCTTCCCCCAGATTCTCCTCTCTTTCTCTTTCTCTTCTTCTCCCCAGTCTCCCTCCCTCTACTTCTCCCCAGCATCTCATCCTCCTTCTCTTCTCCCTCCTCTACTCCCCAGATTCTCCTCTTCTTCTCCCCCAGCATCTCCTCTTCCTCTCCTCCAGATTCTCCTCTTCCTCTCCCCCAGCATCTCCTCCTCCTCTCCCCCAGATTCTCCTCTTCCTCTCCCTTTCTCCCCACAGCATCTCCTCTTTCTCTCCCATCGCATCTCTTCCTCTCCCCTTCTCTCCACAGCATCTCCTCCTCTTGTCTCTCCACAGCATCTCCTCCTCTTGTCTCTCCACAGCATCTCCTCCTCTTGTCTCTCCACAGCATCTCCTCCTCTTGTCTCTCCACAGCATCTCCTCCTCTTGTCTCTCCACAGCATCTCCTCCTCTTGTCTCTCCACAGCATCTCCTCCTCTTCTCTCTCCACAGCATCTCCTCCTCTTCTCTCCCCACAGCATCTCCTCTTCCTCTCCCCCAGATTCTCCTCTTTCTCTCCCTTTCTCCACTTCTCTCCCTGCAGCATCTTCCCCTGGTGCGGGTGGGGGTTTGAAGTCCACCCAGGCTCCCTACCTGGTGGATCCGATTCCTTCCCGCTGCTATGAGGGAGTGTGGGCGCGAGGGAGCACTGACTTACGTGCTGTTGCAGCACTGCTCCCTCCGCTGAGAAACAGGAAATTACGTCAATCACACATCGACTGCTGAATACATACACACACCGACACACACAGTGCGCTGAATACATACACACAGTCCGCTGAATACATACACACAGTCCGCTGCATACATGCACACAGTCTGCTAAATACACACACAGACTGCTGAATATGTACACACAGTCCGCTGAATACACACACAGACTGCTGAATACATACACACTGCTGACTACACACACAGAATGCCGAGTACACACACACACACACACACACAGACATACAGATTGCTGAATCTAACACAGAAACACACACACATACTGCATTGAGGGGTGCAGTGTATGTATTTGTGTGTACGTGTGTGAAGTGCTGTGTGTGTGTGAGGGGTGCTGTGTGTGTGTGTGAGGGGTGCTGTGTGTGTGTGTGTGTGTGGGGTGCGGGGGGTGCTGGGTGTGTGTGTGGAGGGGGTGCTGTGTGTGTGTGGGTGCTGGGTGTGTGTGTGTGTATGTGTGCGAGGGGTGCTGTGTGTGTGCGCTGTGGGTGCTGTGTGTGTGCAGGGGTGCTGGGAGGGGAGTGCTGTGTGTGTCTGTGGGGGGGTGCTGTGTGTGTGTGTACGAGGGGTGCTGCAAATATATTAATAAAATCTGTGACCCCTTCTCCTTTCTTCTTACCTTTGGTGAAGGGGGGGGGACACAGCCAGCCCTGGTGGTCCGGTGGTGGTAAGAGAGACAGGTTCGCCAGCTCTCTTATTCTCCCGCGAGCAGAATGCTGTATGGAGCTTTGCCATGGTAACACGCGCCAACATGGAAACAGAGTAGGCACCTGCCATTTTCTGCAACCAGGAAGGTGCCTACTCTGACATTCAGCCGACCGGCGATCTATGGCTGCGTGCCCACAAAGAGGGCCCGGCGTGCCGCCTGTGGCACGCATGCCATAGGTTCACCATCACTGCTCTAGAGGGTGTCTAATTGACAATCACTAGAGGGAATCTTAGTCCTGCAAAGTTTCTCAAAACTGCAATGATTTACATTGTAGGACCAAGTGGGACAGGGACAGTGCAAGCCAGACCACTTCAATGAGATGAAGTGGTTTTAGTGACTATATTGTCCCTTTAATGCTTAAAGTGCTGACATATATAGTGAATTAAGAAGACTTACAAGAAAAATCAGTTGACAATAACAAGAGTAACTACCTTTTGGTCCAAATCATGCGTTACTGCCCTTTTAGACATGACTTCTAGGCTCATTTATTTATTTCTCATTTTGTCTCTGCCAGTAATCAGCATGTGTGATACACACTCCAAGCCAATCAAGCTGATTGCTGCTGCATGCAAGAACCTGGGCATTGGCCTGAAAGGAAACTTACCATGGCATTTACCGTAAGTACTGTAGGAAAGCTTAGCTGCAATGCACCCTTTATACCGGCTGCAAAGTTGGGAGGTATGATGGAGAAGATGAAGTAGAAGGGGATCAGCTAATGCAGGCCTTCCTCTCCCACACAAGAGGATCCACAATGGCTCACCTCACCAGGCATTGCAGCTACGGATTTCCTGTGATAGCCAGGTCTATATACCTGTATAAAACCTTCTGGCACAGAATATCCAGATCGACCATTATTAAAACACTTCCAGTGATCCCCAAATTTACAGGGACACCCACAGAGAACATCTTACACCCATAGCATATATTATGATGTAAGGAGGTTCACTGTGCATGAAACCCTGTCAGTTTTGTCCACAATGTCATAGGAGGAAGTCCAGACTCCTTAAACGCGAATAAGAAACAGAATTACTTCCTGACCTGGATGGAGTTATATGCGGCTTCTCTTGTGCTTTTTAACATTTAATTTTAATGATTATGAAACAAATACAGTAAATGCCATGCATTGACAGTAAAAAACAATGTATCTTAAATACTCCAACTGATTTCTAAACATGTGTATTGTAGTTTTAAAACAAATTACTGTGAGTATTTTTGCTGAGGAGCTCTGTTATACACTCAGGCACACCAACAATATGGATCTCCTAGAAAAGAGGCACAGACAAATTTGGTCCCAAAATAGGAACTGTCCCACCTAAATAGGGACATTTGTAAGGCTTCATAATGCAGTAATTGCAATAAGAACGGCTGTAAGTTCAATGGGAAATATACAACAAACATTAAAGGGACTCTCCAGGCATCATAACAACTTCATTTAAATGAAGTTGTTATGGTGCCAGGAGACGCCTCGAGGCACTCTTACCTCAAGGGGTTGATCTGTTCTCGAACGCAAAGTTTCCTCAAGTGGTGATGTCCACTCACCCCAGGCAGCATCCTGCTTCTGTTTTTTCAGATTCAGGAAGTTCGGTGTTCCACCAGGCAGAGGTGCACTGATTGGCTGAGAGCTGTCAGCTGGCGCTCTCAGCCAACCAGTGACTTACCATTCACAATTGTGGCTTAAAAAATGTACATTTATATCCCAGCCATTTGATTTTTGAATGGGGAGTCACTGTTTGGCTGAGAGCATCAGCTGACCACCTTCAGCCAATCAGAAGCATCCCTATCTGGCAGTACTCCTGAAACTGAAATTTCAGAAGCCAGATGCCATCTTGGGGGGAGTGGACATCGCTTCTGGAGGCAACTTTGAGGTTAAGTTGTTTCAAATTGCAGTATTTCAAAGTTAAGACCAACAATAAAACTATAGAAAAATTATTAAAAATTTAATTTCATGAGCTCTACTTTTTAAAGGGATACTATAGTCACAAGAACAATTACAGCTTATTGTATTTGTTCTGGTGAGTAGAATCATTACCTTCAGGCTTTTTGCTGTAAACACTGTCGTTTCAGAGAAAATGTTTACATGTTGCAATGTTTACATTACAGCCTATAGTGATCCTTTAATAAAAGGAAAGCCACATGTGAAGGTATGTTTCACTGACTGAGAAAAAGCATGCTTTGTTTGTTGGTATATCTACTAAGTTGAACAAATTTCAATGGCTTGTATGAAGTAATAAAGATACATTGTTCTCTTGATAGATTAGTTGTGTAAATAAAATATACATATACAGTGGAACCTCGGAACTCGAACTTAATCCGTTCCAGAAGCATGTACGAGTTCCGATTTGTTTGAGAACCGAATCAACATTAATTAATGTAAATTTGATTAGTCCATTCAAGAGCCCCAAAATTACAGCATTTTAATACAAATTTTACAGTTTAATAAAACCTTACATGCATAAAATCATATAGAAAAAAATTATAAACACAATGTACAGTAAATGAAAAGAAAATGTAACTTCACTTTACCTATAATGATGAGAGTTGATGGTGTAAGTGGAAAGGAGAAGAATAATTACTGTTTGGATGCGGATAGGTAAATGTTCTTCTAGCATTTAAAATGTGTCTAAGGTGAGATATAGCTTTATAATTGGACATGTTTTTGGCATGATTTGTACCAGTACCGAGGATCGTTCGTGTACCAAGACATTTTTTTATCAAATTTTTTGTTGGACTACTGAATTGTTCTGGTAAGAGACCGTTCGAGTTCCGAGGTTCCAGAGTGTGTGTGTGTATATGTGTATATATATATATATATATATATATATATATATATATATTGATCCTTGTTTGCAGGTAGCACAGTCCTCTAGGGCAAAAACATGCACAGTCCTTGTAATTGCATATACTCCAGGCACTTTATTTGTAAATCCACACAGGATACAGCAGTAAATGAAAACATAAATGTAACACAAAACCCTATAAACAAAAACCTAGCGCGTCTGAGCACTAACTGACATTAGGTTCCCTATCTCTCAGGGTTAAACTAAACCAAACAATATTGCACCAACCTTATTAGATAGCAACACTCTGCTAGCTAGCCTGTTGCTTTCCTTTCTGCACTCCCAGTGCTCCAAGCCAGCCTTGCCCTGACTGCTTTCCTTTCTGCACTCCCAATGCCTAGTCTCCTTGACTCTCTATATGGAGAGAACAGCCTCTCTCCTACCTGCTTCCTGGGAGGAAGCCAGCAATCCCTCTCCTTTTCCTGCCTAGCCGGGAGGGTTTTTTTCCCACTGCAATAGCTCATTAACTGCAGCTGAGCAGTGGGTTGGAGACGGTCCAAAAAACCCTGGCCTGGATCTATGTCTCCCCAGAAAACCACTAAACTGTGGAGTGGAGCATTGGCCCACCCTTCTCTCCAAATGCTCCATCCCAGGGGCCCATAACTAAACAATGCTTTGTGTTGTGCAACACACAAACTACACATACTCCCCCTGGGGTTAAAAGGCCTATCTGCCTTCACTTTATCACAATATATAGAGAGAGAGACAGAGATAATTTTCCCCCCTCTTTTTTGTTCACTTTTTTTTTAACTTAATCTCTGGACTAGATGCTGGAAAAATGAGCCTATCAGTTTATGATAAAATATATACATAGTTATATTATATATATTTTGCAGTTCACTGATGGCCCATTTTCGTGCCGTTTTGATTTTTTTTTTTTTCCTGAAGTTTTTCCACGGACAAAATTCCTACTAGCTTTATTTATTTTTCTCGGACAAAGTAGTTAAGCCCGGCGCAATTAATTCTGCCATGAATATGTCTAGTATAATGGATTACATTTGATATTGATAATGGTAAATATACCACAATTAACTTATTTACTAATGAGCATGCAATAATCAGGAAATACTGGATTTATTTCCTGCTGTTTCACATATACTGCATGCAACAATAATTTAGTACACTTATTAAATGATTATCTGTGTTATTGATGCTAGTGTATAAAGTGTGGGAATTTCTTGTTCATGAATGAGCTGCATTTTAGTATGCATTTATAGAATTTCATGTAACCAGATTTTTATAGCAATGTCACAAAATGTTCCATGAGTCATGTTTAACAGTGAAGTCTAGGATTCCATGTATTTCAAAGCATTTTTCAGCAGCAGTAAATACGCATTGTGCAATCTGTATTTTGTAATGTTTTTTCAGATTGACGAAGTATGTTAGGACAAGGAGCCCTGCATTTCTCAATGTCACTTAAGTGTACAAATTAGATTATGCCCATCCAAAGAATGGTCATCCAAAAACTAGTAGTTGTCATTTGGATTTTAAGCCATGTCAAGGGTAAATATTTGGGTGACCTGGCTGCTAGGAAATGTGGACATGCCCTCTTTATGAACCATTGAGAATGCTGACAGGAATGCCTTAGCAAAGTGGTTCCCAACCCACTCCTCAAGTACACCAAAACAGTCCAGGATTTGCAGATTACCCATTTGTGTCTAAGGTGTTTTTAGAAAAAGAAAACACTTTAGACATATCAGGGTAATTCCTAAATCCAGGACTGGGAGCGGATACTTGAAACTGGGTTGGGAACCCCTGTCTTAGCATATACATTACATATATGGGTTGTGTTTCCTGTTTATGATGTTATATGTGGTAATGTGTAGGTAAAATCTCTTTATCTTTTGCAAATATGGGATATTTACTTCATGGCTAAAATGCCAATCCGTCAAAGTTTTTGGTTTAGTGAATAAGTCCCAATGGTAAATGATGATCAATAATGCTTTCAAAACTTTAATTGCAGGAATGAATATAAGTATTTCATCAACAAGGTAACTTCAGTCACACAGCCAGGTAGGTATTACACTAGAATGTCATAGATAAGAAACAGAAGCTACCAATTTTTAAACTTTCAAGAATGTGGTGGTAGATGAGGTGGTTTTCATTACTAGTAAAGCACCCCTGCACTACCTTTAGTACATTTCTTTGGATGCAATAATAAGTTTACACATTAATATGTTCATGCATAAACAGAAACACACATGCACAGAGGCACACAGAAACGGTTATAAAAAGAGACACATATACATTTTCATGCACAGTCATATTGCTCAGAATCTCGGTCCGTCTTTCCCCTTATTTGTACGTCTCTTCCAATCTCCCTTCATTCTCTGTTTGTTTTACACACCATATATATATATATATATATATATATATATATATATATATATATATATATATATACAGGGAGTGCAGAATTATTAGGCAAATGAGTATTTTGACCACATCATCCTCTTTATGCATGTTGTCTTACTCCAAGCTGTATAGGCTCGAAAGCCTACTACCAATTAAGCATATTAGGTGATGTGCATCTCTGTAATGAGAAGGGGTGTGGTCTAATGACATCAACACCCTATATCAGGTGTGCATAATTATTAGGCAACTTCCTTTCCTTTGGCAAAATGGGTCAAAAGAAGGACTTGACAGGCTCAGAAAAGTCAAAAATAGTGAGATATCTTGCAGAGGGATGCAGCACTCTTAAAATTGCAAAGCTTCTGAAGCGTGATCATCGAACAATCAAGCGTTTCATTCAAAATAGTCAACAGGGTCGCAAGAAGCGTGTGGAAAAACCAAGGCGCAAAATAACTGCCCATGAACTGAGAAAAGTCAAGCGTGCAGCTGCCACGATGCCACTTGCCACCAGTTTGGCCATATTTCAGAGCTGCAACATCACTGGAGTGCCCAAAAGCACAAGGTGTGCAATACTCAGAGACATGGCCAAGGTAAGAAAGGCTGAAAGACGACCACCACTGAACAAGACACACAAGCTGAAACGTCAAGACTGGGCCAAGAAATATCTCAAGACTGATTTTTCTAAGGTTTTATGGACTGATGAAATGAGAGTGAGTCTTGATGGGCCAGATGGATGGGCCCGTGGCTGGATTGGTAAAGGGCAGAGAGCTCCAGTCCGACTCAGACGCCAGCAAGGTGGAGGTGGAGTACTGGTTTGGGCTGGTATCATCAAAGATGAGCTTGTGGGGCCTTTTCGGGTTGAGGATGGAGTCAAGCTCAACTCCCAGTCCTACTGCCAGTTCCTGGAAGACACCTTCTTCAAGCAGTGGTACAGGAAGAAGTCTGCATCCTTCAAGAAAAACATGATTTTCATGCAGGACAATGCTCCATCACACGCGTCCAAGTACTCCACAGCGTGGCTGGCAAGAAAGGGTATAAAAGAAGAAAATCTAATGACATGGCCTCCTTGTTCACCTGATCTGAACCCCATTGAGAACCTGTGGTCCATCATCAAATGTGAGATTTACAAGGAGGGAAAACAGTACACCTCTCTGAACAGTGTCTGGGAGGCTGTGGTTGCTGCTGCACGCAATGTTGATGGTGAACAGATCAAAACACTGACAGAATCCATGGATGGCAGGCTTTTGAGTGTCCTTGCAAAGAAAGGTGGCTATATTGGTCACTGATTTGTTTTTGTTTTGTTTTTGAATGTCAGAAATGTATATTTGTGAATGTTGAGATGTTATATTGGTTTCACTGGTAATAATAAATAATTGAAATGGGTATATATTTGTTTTTTGTTAAGTTGCCTAATAATTATGCACAGTAATAGTCACCTGCACACACAGATATCCCCCTAACATAGCTATAACTAAAAACAAACTAAAAACTACTTCCAAAAATATTCAGCTTTGATATTAATGAGTTTTTTGGGTTCATTGAGAACATGGTTGTTGTTCAATAATAAAATTAATCCTCAAAAATACAACTTGCCTAATAATTCTGCACTCCCTGTATACACACACAAAGTAAAGACAGGAGCACTCTCGCGGTTTTCCATCTTGATAAAGACCCTAAAGGGTCGAAACATTAATGTATAGGTGGTGATAATTTTTGAAATATAATTGGAAAACTGAGAGAGTGCTCCTGTCTTTACTTTGTTTATATGCCCTTCTTGGAAGCACCTGGGTAAAGTTTCTTTGTCTACACCAGTGGTTCTCAAACCAGTCCTCAAGGCCCACCAACAGTCCAAGATTTATGTATTTCCCTGTTTTATTCCAATGGAGATACTAACAAAACGTGGACTGTTGGTGGGTCTTGAGGACTGGTTTGAGAACCACTGGTCTAAATGTTTGGGGTTGAGTGCCAGAGTCTGGACATTATATATATATATATATATATATATATATATATATATATATATATATATCTCTTACCATTATCTCGTTTTTGGTCTGTCTTTATCTCCACATTTCCCCTTGTTTTGGGTTGATAGCCCTTCTTAGTATCTTTCTTTCCCATCTAATTTTCTGTGTGCGCATTTCTCTCTCTTTCTTTCAATCAATCTCTATCCATGTCTCTGTCTCACCCTTCAACCTCTGGAATTCCTCCTGCTCAATTTATGTTATAGTACAACCAAGCAGTGTGTTGGTGAAGGGCTAGGGTGCTTTATCTTTGGTTTTATAGTTGCCTATTTAATGAATAAGCCCAACAAATCCAGTTCCCTCAGGTTTTTTTTTTTTTCTTTGCAGGGCAATTTGAAAAATTGGCCAGGGGTATTGCACATTTTAGTCCAAAATAGCCAATATGTTAACTATTGGCAATCTTACAGCTATTATGGCCTAGAATTTCTAATTCGATTGCCAGTTCCTCAATCTCAGTTTAATGAGAACCTCAGAAATGTTTGGTGATCTAAAAATGTGCATATAGCGCCATCTACTGTAGTTTTTTTTTTTTTTTCTACAAACAGATTAATGTAAATTAATTAATGCATCTACATTATACTGTTTTTATTTAAATTACATTTGTGATGGAGAATTCAAATTAAAGTGCAGGCAATGATGTACTCAATCACCTGGCACAATCTGTTACTCCTTACTACAAAGACATTTTGCATGAAGGTCTCTAGTCCCATCATTCACAGTGACTATACTACTACAAAGCATAGGGAGGGGACACTAAATGCCAGTGATAACAAAATTAAGTTGCCTTATCCCTCCACCTTCTCCTAAATATATGTATAAATGTTACTCATCATTCTCCCCCAAAAAGTTGAATAAAATATTTGTATAAAGCATACATTGACCAAGCTTTATCGGACAAGATTTCCGCTCCTCATCTTCGTCAACCCACTGAAACAGATATACATTAAAATAAAAAGATATCTGTACTTCTTTCCCCTTCAAAGTTTATAAGGAAATTAAATAATTAGGCAAATATTAAATGTACAATTAACAATTGCAATGACAATTTGGTATGGTAACTACTCACAACACGTGAAAATTGTATATAAAATGAATATTAAAAATTAAGGGAAAAAAACTATTTTCTTTTACTTACCTTAATTCCAGGCTAGGCTAGTAAGGTCTCCTCCTCAACCAATGTCATGGTGGGACCTAGTGCACATTAAAGCTTCTCCATAGGCAGGGCCGCCATCAGAAATTTTGGGACCCCTAACACAGCTCAGGGTCTGGGCCCCCAGGATCTCGCCTCCAATCCCGCCCCCAGGCCTGCCTTTAAATCCCACTCACAGGAATACACACACAAACACAGGCACTGATACAAAAGGACACAAATACACACACACACAAAGATACACACTTACTCACACACACACACACACATACATACTAACAGACACACATACTGAAACAGACATACACACATATAGGCATACATAACGACACACACATATTGAAACAGACATACACAAATATACAGACACAGACATACATAATGACACACACACATACATACAGACATACAAACAGACATACAGACAGACATACTGACAGACAGACATACACACACAGCTAATTTTTCAGCCAGTGTTTCTTACCTTTTCGTTGCAGGAGGGTGGCTGGGGCTAATGGGAGTTGGTGTGGGCTCTTCCTCTTCACAACCTCCACACTGTCTCTCACTTCCTCCCAGCGCTACTTGTGGTGTGGCTGCTATTTTTTTTAAAGGCGCCTGGTCGCGCTATTACACGGCCGCAGCGCTGACCGGGCCCCTGAAGATATAGGGCCCATCAGCTGGCCCTAAATGCTTGGACCACCTGATGGGCCCCATCAGCGTGCGGGCCCCATTGCAACTGCACCGGCGGCAGTTCCGGCGCTACACATTGGGCCCGTGCCGAGCCAGTGACAGCCGTCATGGTGGTCACCCCCTGATGGCGGCCCTGTCCATAGGAAACCATTTAATCTGTGTTTTCCTATGGGGAATGAAGACAGGGAGCCTTCTGCCTACGGACTAGAAGGCGTTTTGGTGGCCTTAACCCAGAAACTGCAACTGTAGGGTTAAATAGACAGGGGCACTGCACCCAGACCACTTAAATGAGATGAAGTAGACTGGGTGCCGATAGTGTCCCTGAAAATGTGTAGAGTGTTAAGATGTCACTCAGCTCTCAAGTCTTATGATCTGTTAGGTAATGTGCACCACCTAAACAGTACACTAGTGTAACAGCCACTGGTGTATTTAGCCCAAGGCTAACTAGGCATTTGCCTTGGGCGGCACTAACCAGGGGCGGCAAAAAATGCCCTTGGTGTTCCATCTGTCCCTGGGGTCCAGTGGGGCTGCTGGGAGGTGTGCCTCTGTGTTCGAATCAGAGGTGGCGTGGGAGTTGTGATCTGCGCTGTTTGCTGATGCAGCTGGAGCCGGAATATGGCATCAGTAGATGGCCCGCAAGGGACGATAGAGTGGAGCAGGGAGATCACAGCTCCATCACCGCCTCTGATTCGAACACAGACGCACGCCTCCCAGCAGCCCCACTGGACCCCGGGGACAGATCCACGCCAGCCCTCCAGGTAGAGAGGCTGGGTAGGAAATGTTAATTATAATAATTTGTGGGTGTGTGTATGAGTGTATGTGAGTGCATGGGTGTGTGTGTGTATGTGAGTGTTTGTCAAATCAGTGAAAGTCTGTTTGTCATTCAGTGTGTGTGTCTGACAATGAGTGTCTGTCAGTGTTTGTGTGTCTGTCAGTGTGTGTGTGTCTGTGAATGTGTGTGTGCCAAATCAGTGAGTTTGTGTCTGTCAGTGATGTCTGTGTGTATGTGACTGTCAGTGTGTCAGGGCCGGCCTTTGTGGTGTGCGAGCCGCGCGGCCGCACATGGCGCCATGCAACAGGGGCACCGGCAGCCAACACAGCTCACACATGTTTGGACCCTAGGGCTTCCATTGCTCTCTCTGGCACTCAGGAGGTTATTATGGAGTAGAGCCATGGGAGAGTAACCAGGCAGAAGCAGCACACAGACAGGGCCAGTGCAAGTATTTTTGCCGCCCTAGGCAAAATAAAAATTTGCCGCCGCCCCCCATGTGACATCACAATGCTCCACCCATATGATCTGCCATATGAACTAACACCAGTGCTGCACACAGTGTGTGTTTACATTAAAAAGCCTGCAGGGACAGGCTATAGACACCAGAACCACTTCATTAAGCTGCAGTGGTTCTGGTGACTATAGTGTCCCTTTAATGTGAGGTAAATTAGAGATTAGTGTCACTAATAATATACTAGATTGCCTACTTACAAAAGATGAGGATTGTGATGGGTTCTAGCTGCAGTTTGGCTCCACTGGTATGATGTAGAACAGGATCTCTGGAGGCTGTTTGTAACTGTGGTCACAAAATTCAATGTTCTGGGAGAACGTAAAGCAGCTCCATTTTTTTGGGCCCCTTGCACAGCTCAAGGTCTGGGCCCCAGGGCCTGACGGTGAGTATGCCCATAAGGCCCACCCATAAGTCCACCTATATGTTCCACCCATGAGTTCGCTCAGAAGGAGTAGAGTGTGTAGGGGATGTGTTGTGTGTTATTGTAGAGGATCTAATGTGTGTGCTTATGGAATGTAGTGTATAGGGATACCAGTTTGTGTAGGTGATGCAGTGTGTTTGTGTTTAGTGGAAGCAGTGTGTGTTTGTGCATAAGGGATGTGTTGTGTGTAAGGGATGCATTGTGTGAATCTGTGTCTGTATGCATAAGGGATGCAAGGTGTGTGTCTAAGTGTGTGTATTGAGTGTGTGTAAGAAATGCATTGTGTTTCTGTGTCTATGTAAAAGAAACAGTGTGTGTGTGTTTGCATGTGTGTGTAAGGGATGCATTATGTGTTTCTGTGTATGTGTGCAAAGGATGCATTGTCTTTGTGTGTAAGGGTTGCATTGTGCGTGTCTGTGTGTAGGCATGCGCAGGGCCGGCCTTAGGCCTTTAGGCGCCCTGTGCGAAAAATATTCACAGCGCCCCTCCATGGTCACATGCCCTCGTACATCTTGTAAAAAGTGCTAAGCCTCTATTACATAGGTGTTACGTATTAACGTGATTTCTGGGCATATCATGCATATACACGTATATTAATACATTTGTAAATATTATAGGTGTAATAACACATATAATAATAATAATAATAATAATACACCCATATTAATATACATGTATATTTAAATATTACTCTTAGAAATCATGAGCAGAAAATTATATATATATATGGGCTAGAAGAATTCCTCCCACGTGTATAGATTTGGGAAAAACAAACCTATGTGAAGGCATACTCAAGCATTAGGAGTAAAAACACATTTCTAACAAGAGTGTCCTGACTCCCTGAAATTGCCATGCCATTATGTTGTGTGTGGAATAGGGATGCAGTGTGTGTAGGGAAAACAGTGTGGTGTGGGATAGGGATGTAGCGTGTGTGTGTGTGTGTGTGTAGGTTAGGTAATGTGTGTGTGTGTAAAGGAGATGTAGTGTGTATGTGTGTAGGAAACAGTGTGTGCATAGGGTATATAGTGTGTATGTGTTTAGGGAACATAGTGTGTGTGTGTGTAAAGGGGATGTAATGTGTATGTGTGTAGGAAACAGTGTGTGTGTATAGGGTATGTAGTGTGTATGTGTTTAGGGAACATAGTGTGTGTGTATAGGGAATGTAGTGTGTATGGGTGCAAGTTATGTAGTGTGTATATATAGGGAGCATAGTGTGTCTGTACGTTTTGTAGTGTTTGTGAGATATCTAGTGTGTATGTGTGTAGAGAACAAAGTGTGTTTATAGGGAACGTTCTGTGTGAGTAGATTATGTAGTGTGTGAGTAGATTATGTGGTGTGCGTGTGTGTGTGGATTATATAGTGCGTATGTGAGTAGATTATGTAGTGCGCGTGTGTGTGTGAGTAGATTATGTAGTGCGCGTGTGTGTGTGAGTAGATTATGTAGTGTGTGTATAGGGGATGTTGTGTGTGAGTAGATTATGTAGTGTGTGTATAGGGGATGTTGTGTGTGAGTAGATTATGTAGTGTGTGTATAGGGGATGTTGTGTGTGAGTAGATTATGTAGTGTGTGTATGTGTGTGTGTGTTATGGAGTGTGTGTAGGTAACACAGTAAGGGTGGGATAGTGATGATTTGTGGGTAGGAGGGGGTGACATAAGGCTTTAAATGAGGAGATGGGAGAGCAATTTCAGGTTTTGTTTTCTTAAAATTAATTAATGTTGATTCGCCCCTTCTGCCCCCCTCCCTCTTGCATACCTTTGGGCAGGGATGGGGGAATACTGATGACCTGGTGGTCCAGCGGTCTCTGCCAGTCCTTGCAGAACAGGAGCCCTCCTCTTGCGAGCTCTGCGTTGATAGTATGAGAGCGTTGCCACGGCAACACTCTGAATGCCAAGCTCGCGAGAGGAGAGCAGATTTAAAGCGCTCAATGCTCGCTCCCATCATCCAAACAGCGGCCAGTGAGGGAGGTCCTCAATCTACTCACCAGCCAATACCAAAGCAGAGCGCACTCTGTAAGGGTCGACCAGCTGGGGCGCAATCTTTCACCCACCAGAGCGCTCTGAGGTAGGGCAGGACCTGGTTGTGCGAGCTGTGTTGGTTGCCCGGCGCCCCTGTTGGCATGGCGCCCTGTGCGGCCGCACAGCTCGCACACCCCTAAGGCCGGCCCTGGGCATGCGTTGTGTGTTTCTGTGTATGTATAGGGATGCATTGTGTGTGTGTGTGCACGTAGTGTGAAAGAGCTCCCTGTCCTGCCCCCTGTCCTATTGAGCTCTCACTTCTGTCCCTTACAGCTCTCCCCCTACCCTCCCCTAGCGGTCTCTTCTCACACACCCCCCCCCCACCCTCCCTGTGTTCTTCTCACCTCCCCTTCTCCTCACTCCCTCTCCCTGTGTTCTTCTCACTCCCCCTGTGTTCTTTCCTCACTACCCTGTTCTTCCTCACCACCCCCCTCATCTCCCTTTCTCCTCACACCTGTGTTCATCTTACTCCCCCTTCCTCCTTCTTCTTACTCCCACCTCCCCTTCTTCTTACCTCCCTTTTCTTACTCCCCTCCCCTTCTTCTACTCCCACTCCCTCCCCTTCTTCTACTTCCTCCCTGTTTTCTTCTTACCCCCCTCTTCTTCTTACTCCCCCCTCCCCCAGTTTTTCTTACATCCCCGCCCACTGTGTTCTCCTCACCTCCCCTTTCCTCTAGCGAGTTTCTGTTTCCTGTACCCGGCCGGACTGACAGGAAGTGCACACTAAGTGTGCACTTCCTGTCAGTCCAGCCGGGCACCGCGGACCGGAGAGGAGCTCAGCCATGCTACAGGGAAGGGGAGGTGAGGAGAGAGGCAGTGCTGCAGCCGCCTGATGCTCTCTATAGAGCACTCAGGCGGCTGCAGCCTTAGGGCCGGTAATGAAGGCGCAGGGCGTCCCCTCCTATATGGTGCTCTAGGCGGCTGCCTAGTTTGCCTTATAGGAAGCGCCGGCCCTGCACACAGATCATAACATTCATGGCTTCGGTGAACTCCAAGCGCCTGATTAGAGACATGCAGTGTAAAATGGGCTGTGAGTGGCTGCAGAGGTAAGGGTAGGAGTCAGTAAAGGAGCAGACACTCACTTTCCAATCAGATCCCCTGTGCCTATACACCCAGTAAGCATGTACCTCCAGCCCCCCCTCCTGTCCTTGGCTGCAAGCCACTTGCCAGCATTTTACAGTACTGGCCTCTTTCATGGCCTCTGTGTTGCCTGTAGATTCCCCTCAGAGGAGTGTAAGCACCTCACAGCCTTCCTTCCCCTGCTGCTGTGTGACACCCTGCAGATCAGCTAATCCTGTCTGGGAGCTATTGGCTGCTGCAGGTCAGTACTCTATGATCTGATGTATCTATTAACTGTCTGTTAGTGCCCCATCTCTGCCAGGCTCCAACCATTACAATCCTGTAGGATCTGCTAAACTAATGTCTCCGTAAACCACACATTGGAAATATGCATCTGTAAACTGTTGTATGTCAGTGTCTGTATGTGTTATAAGGAGCAACTCTCAGTGTCTGTGTGACAGTGTTTATGGCAGGGTATGTGCCAGTGTTTGTTTGTGTGTGTGTGTGTGTGCGTTTGTGTGTGTTTCAGTTAGTGCTTGTGACCGTGAATGCCTGTGGCAGTGAGTTCTTGGGTCAATGCGTGTTAGTATTTGTGCCAATGTGTGTGTGTGTCAGTGCTTGTGTCATTGAGTGCTTGAGTCAGTGTGTATGTAAGTGAGTGATTGCTCAGAGTGTGTGTCAGTGAGTTCTCGTGTCAATGTGTGTTAGTGAATGATTGTGTCAGTGTGTGGCAGTGAGTGTGTGTTTGTGTGTGTTAGTGAATGATTGATTGTGCCAGTGCTTGTGGCAGTGAGTGTGTGTGTTAGTGAGTGCTTGCTTGGTGTATGTGTGTCATTGAGTGCCTGTGTGTTTGTGTCAGTGAGTGCACGTCAGTGTGTTTGTCATTGACTGTATGCGTCATTATGGGTGTAACTGAGTGCATCTGACAGTGGTTCTATGTTTATGTGTGATTGTGTGTTTCAGCGAGAGTATGTGTTGGTGTGCATACTTTTCTTAAATAGACCATTAGCTATATATAGTTTTTTTTCTTACCTTTTTAATGACAAATTCAATTAAAAAAAGGAAGTTTTACTTAAAGGAACACTATTGTCACCGAGACCACTTCATCTAAATGAAGTGGTTTGAGTGCAGAGGCCCTTTTTTGAGAAACTACAATGTTTAAATTAAGGTTAAGTCCACCTCTAGTGGCTGTCAGTATAAGAGCCACTCGAGGTGCTTCTGCTGCACTGACTAAGACTCGCTCACGTGATGCAGGAGCCCCATTGGAAAGCGTTGATTCAATGCTTTCCTATGGGAACATATAACTGCATGCACAACACTTGCTTCTCCTGTGTGAGAAGCATTAATTTGGAAATTGGCGCAGTAGGCAATGTCTTCTCCATGACATTGTGGGAGGCGCTGGAAAAAGGTTTATAAATCTTTATTATTTTCTAATTTTAATTGCAAATGGGAGGGACACATATATAGAGCTATAATTATATTGCAATTATGTTAAATCAGTATTTTGATACAGCTTTATAATATTTTTTTTGTGGGGGGCCAATAAGGAGGTTTTAAGTGATGAGCAGTATTAATGGGAGGGTGTGGTCAGGAGGCAGTGTGGCCAGAGTATGGCGCTGTGAAGATTCTTCGCACAGGGCGCCTACAGGCCCGAGGCCAGCCCTGAGTGTGCATCTGCCTGTGTGTGTAAGTCAGTGAATGTGTGTGTGTCAAATCAATGAGTCTGTGTCTGTCAGTGACTTCTGTGAGTCTAAATAGGAAGGGGTGGGTTCTTAATCAGGAAGAGGTGCAGCCTTGACAGGAAGGGGTGGGGCAAATTTAGATTAGGGGGGTGCCCAGGTTTAGTTGTGCCTAGGGCAGCACAAAACCAAAATACACCACTGGTAACAGCCTATCAAATGTGCATCTGCCAGAACATTCTGTATACATCATCATTTATTTCACCTAACACTGGATGAATGAGTTTATGAAAAAAATAAAAATCCTTGCTTGCAGCTCCTATTTGATAAATAAGGCTGAGCCTAAAATTGTGGGAAGGGTTGCCCGGCCTATACATACACAGGCCTCCCCTTCCTCTGGGCTAATACTTCCTGGTTCAGTCCAAGCCACTTGGCATTAGCAGGGCCTCGCCTTCCCTTAGTTCAGATAATTCTTCGCCATCCGGCACTTAGCAAGTTGCCAGTTGATGTAGGGCTACACAGTCATTGACAATTCATCATAGTATGTCTCACACATCTGAAGTAGGAAACAGTGTCACTCACATGTACTACCACTACATTTTCCCTCAGCACTGTCCAGCATACAACTAGCCCGAGTTCTTTGGGATCTGGGACCTTTCCTAAGTTGCTGCTGAGTGCAGAAGTACAGACATACCATTCCAGCTACAGATTGGAAGCGCGACTGTATAGCCTCATTATTGGTAACTGCATAACCCCTGACTTGGCGCCAGCACTGTTCCCTCTTATGGGTTTGTTTCCATTCCTAGCCATTGCGCCAGCTTTAGTTTCACAGTCTCTTGCTGGTATACTAGACTCGATCTAGATGCAGTTACCCCCCCACTCCTCTATGCCTGCGATCCAGCATATCAGAGAGATTTGGTGCCATTCCATGGAAATTATGCCTACTCATATTGGGATCTCCGGTCTCTCTGAACTTGGTTCTCTGAACTTGCTGTGTGCATTTACCACAGGGTTGCTACTTCATCTCCTACTAATCAACCTCTCACACATTTTTCTACTGAAAATTTGCTGTGACACTTGACACACATTGCTCATAAAGACTCGTTCATATGGCCGAACTCCCACTGGAACAAGAAAGTCATTAATTATTCCCCCACAATCTGATGATTCCCTTATTCTCTGGTCAAACACTGTTGCCCACACTGCATTTGCAGCCATTTCCGAGGATTACCAAGTCCATAACATATGTACCTAGTGGCCAGCAGTAAATCAGAACCTAACCTTGTTATCATAACTTCAGTCCCCTTCGCAGTCTACACCATCATGACCGCCACGGATATAGTCTCGATAGAGGGGGCAAACTCAAGTCAACAGAATGTGTATTCGCTCGGTCCTCCCTGCTAACAATCACATAGTTATTCAGGTATTGACTAGACTGGCAGCAATGGCAATATTATCACATACCAAGCTGTCACAACATAACAGCCTATGCCTTTTCTCGCTCTGTTTCGCGTATTTTACCATGCGCCCCCAATAGCTGCCAAATATTCTCTCTAAACTCCAACATTCCAGGGCCTTACTTTGAATTGACTCCTCTATGACACCCGGTAGATTGCTGGCGTATGCAGCACTCAATACCAATGCCTTCCGTTATATACTGGAGTTCTGGACAGCTATTGTACGTTCCCTTCAGCATATCAAATTGTTAATTCATACTCAATAGACCCCACAGTGGCGTTCACATCCTTTTGCCACCTTAATCTTAAAATTATCTAACAACACCATTAAACTACTTGGATACAACCTTCAACATTTCAAGATCATTCTCTTAGTGTTGGCGCTGCTTCTGCAGTGCAGTGGAATATCCCAGTACACGTCATCAATGACTGGGACGAGGGTAATCATCTGCATACACCATAAGCATCCATCAACCGGAGAGGGAATTGAGGCAGGCATTTAAAGTATATTTTACTTAATGTCTCCACATATTAAAGTATTAAACTGTTAAACATTTTGCCCTCTTTTTACAGGCCTACCTGAACATCGGTTTCGGGCACACCACAACCGATTTACATCACCACTACTATAACTTGGCTTATTGTCCCTGACTACAAATGGAAAGGCAGAGCCGTAGATGGAGTCTCAAATTGTGGGAAGGATTACCCAACCTATAAATACACAGGCCTCCCCTTCCTGTGGTCTGATACTTCCTGGTTCAGCCCACCCACCACTCCCTTTATGAAGCCATTCAATTTTAATTGGCCCTCTTTTTATAGGCCTACTTGAACATCGATTTTATGCACACCACAACCAATTTACACCACCACTACTGTAACTCTGCTTATTGTCACTGACTACAATTGGTTGTTAAGATGCTTTTCTCACATACAAACACTACTCTGAGAATTTGAGATCTAATTTAACCATAGCTGAATATTCTGACAGTGTGTCTCTTTGTGCAGCTGGAGAGAAAAATATATGTACTGTAAAAAATCCACTAAGCATTGAAAGAACTATTGTTGTTGTAAATAGTGCAAAATGCATTTTTTTAACTTAGTGTTTGTAGCTATCTCAAATATATCCTAAAATGTGCATTTATGTGAAAAATAACATTTTTCCCAAATACCTACATTTTCTAACTCACAATATATGCAGAAGTAATAAATAAGAATGGCCTCATTTTTAGTCAATAAGCAAGCATAATACTAAAATTTTCCCAAATTATTTAACTAAAATTCAGTATATATCCCATGTAAGATGTAGATACTTAGATACAGCGTATATGCTATTCATTCATAGAAACATAGAATGTGACGGCAGATAAGAACCATTCGGTCCATCTAGTCTGCCCAATTTTCTAAATACTTTTATTAGTCCCTGGCCTTATGTTATAGCTTAAACTCCTTCACAGTGTTAACCTCTACCATTTCAGCTGGAAGGCTATTCCATGCACCCACTACCCTCTCAGTAAAGTAATACTTCCTGATATTATTTTTAAATCTTTGCCCCTCTAATTTAAGACTATGTCCTCTTGTTGTGGTAGTTTTTCTTCTTTTAAATATAGTCTCCTCCTTTACTGTGTTGATTCCCTTTATGCATTTAAATATATAGCCAAAGCTATACATGTTAAGATCTTTTAACCTTTCCTTGTAAGTTGTATGCTTTATAAAATATGGGCAGACCTTTCCTTCCTTTGTAAGGTAATGTGTTTCCTGCACTATTCAGCTCTTAATGCATATATATTTTGCATGCAGGAAAGAAAAATTTACTCATGTTGGGTCGGATATCATTTGGGACATTTGATGAGAAGTACTTACCTCTGCCAAACTGTGTTGTTGCACTCCTGAGCAAAAAGGAAAGGTAATCAATATGTAAATGGACTTGTACTTAGTCATGAATTTAAAATGGATATGACATTTATTACATTTCACTATCATAGCCACTAAAAGCTAAGAACTATTAACAAATAATGATGAAAAAAACATATATAGGTGGGCAACATATTATTTATTAACACAGCGTGTAGATGTGCAGACAGTGCAACAACTTGTTAACATTTGCCGGTAGAAGAAGAAAAGAGTTCTGTGACAGGAAGAACAGACGTAGCATTCTCACTGTTGTCTTGGTAAGAAAGACCCACAAAAATCTGGCTCTGGGTGGCAAACACCTCCATTCCAGTAATAAGGTGATATCAATGACCCTCGTAGTATTTTTTGTTATTTATTACTTTTGTAATGTGGTAGCTGGCTAGTAAGCATTTGACCAGCTGCCACATATTGAACTCTTGTGCTACCATGGTTTTTTAAAACGATTTGCCCGCTGTCTGCTAGTACTGCCAGATGGAAAAATAATTCTTAAAATTATATTTCACTTGCAAAAAATCCTGCCAGGTGCATTTGGTTTATTTTGAGTCGCTATGCAGTCATTGATAAATCTCCAATTCCTTGCTGTTAAACTGGATTGGATGCAGATATTAGTGATTTACCCAATGCTTCTGAACAAATTTTACAGAATCGGTCAGACAGGCTAAATCCTGCTCGCATTTGACTTTAGTAAATCTGTGAATCGCCCATGTGGTCATAATTCGGTTAATTTCACCAGATTGTGTCCATTCAGAAAAAATCTAGTGTTTAGTGAATAGTACTGTTTATGCTGCACATCTCTTTTAATGTAATGCAGTATTATACTGAAGTACTTATGCTTCGATTTAATAAACTTTCCAAATGATCCAATACTGTTAGAAAATGGTCAAATTGTTTATCTACAAAAAGTCTCATAGACTTTAATGGAGACTTCTGTAGATAAATAATTTAGAAAGCTTTTCTAACAGTATTGAATTATTTAGAAACGTGGTTTAATTGAGGCCTTAATTAGGCTGTCATATTTCTAATTCTTAATTTGAAACTAAATTACTTACTATGATACTATTTAAGCAATTTGCCAAAACATGCACATTATATCTGCCGGAATGAAGAAGAAGTTCTGAAAATGGCAGTAACACCACCACTATGTGACGAGGTTGAAACCATATGGATTTTAGGAGGTGTGGAGACCTACAGAGTAAGTACATATCAATAAAATTCCGATGAGCGATATATTCAGTTATAAAATACTTGTTGAAGGGAAATTCTTGTTTCATACATGTCTCCTTACATGGTGGTGCACAATGGAAGATGGGGACGATAGATATAATTACCTACATTATTATAATTGCCTATAATTACTCTCATCAGTTCCACCATGTTTCTCATAGTCCTAGTCTTGAGCTACTGCTGAACTGATGTGCCTGAAGCTGAATCACTATTCGATTTTTATTTATTTTTATTCTTTATTTTTCGTGCAAGGATTAAATACAACTAGGCAAGCAATGCCACATTAGCTATTGCCAGTGTATTAGTCAACATATGGAAACAATTTTATGGCACATCTAAACATTGCACATTTCGATTATTTTTTTTTCATTCTTTATTAAAGAAACACGTGAAGGCAATTTGACAAATGGTATACATAGGTACATTAATGAAGAATTACAGACAGTATAGATACAATTGCATACCTTAGTGATACATAGATAGTTTCTACTTTGACTTGTATATGAATTGTGTTGGATAATATTTCCATCTTTCTTTGAAGAAAATCTATTTTTATAAAAAAAAACTGTAGTAACAGTGTCCCCTTTCTCAGTGTGCTATTTTATTATTATTATTTTTTTAGAAATCTGTATGATTAAATCTAAGTAAGTACTTGTTTTGGGAAATTCATCATTCACCTCTTCACTTATCTGCTTCTGTCTCTCCCTCTGCCATTGGGTCTGTTTCCATGTGGTTAGAATACTCTAACAAATAACCTAACCAAGCAACATACCTTGGTGGCAAAAAATAGTTATGGACTGCACATAGTAAGAACAAATAATAAACAAGGAACTAACCATATGGGCTATGAACAAATATTACAACAGTTTTATTTAGAATACTTAAATGTTCTGTACTCTCCAACATTTTTATTGGGTTGTGTGAATACTCCTCTGGCATGTAAGAGGTTATGAGTATTTATTAGTACAGATACTACACTTCTGGGTGTTATGGCCACTATTGGTGCTGGAGGTTTGGACACATAATTGCCACTCTATATTAAGAGGTTAGAGGCACCCTTGGTACTGTTCAGCTGGAGTTGTGGCAACATTTTGTACAGTTGGACTGTGCACCTTTTGGCATCCCTTTTATAGGCCAGATGGTTTTTGTTCCTCCACAATGGCAAAACCATAATTTTAAAATGTAACTTCCTTGTATTGATCAGTATTTTGCCCGTAGACAATAAATAAAAACATTGCTCCTAGAATGAGTATCAGAAAGAAATGTAGGCTTTATACATAGTAATCATTGAACATTTGTTTGTTTAAACTAAAGTATTGTTACTTCAATATCATTTTTCAGACTATGATGAAGCATCCATGGTGTGATGAAATCTATTTAACAAGGATTGAGGCTGACTTTGAATGTGACACATTTTTCCCTAAGATAAACCAAGAGGTTTTTTCATTGATGGACAAGTAAGTTCTTTACAGCTACAAGTGTAACTATAAATGTCAATCAATGCATCTCTATGAGGAGGTGCTGATTGGCCAAAACTGTGTTTGGCCCTGCCTCTTGCCGATTTTAGCCAATCCAAGGCTTTCCCCAGGGATACACTATATTTGCACTATAGGGTCAGGAATACATGTTTGTGTTCCTGACCCTATATAGTGTTCCTTTAAGTAGGCTTAGTGGGGAGCTTATGGTTAGGCGTGATGTACGAAAAGGGTTTAGGGTTAACAGGAACTTAAATTTAGAGAACTACCTGCCTTCAAGGTATTCTATACTGTGTCTCCTATTACTCTAGGTTTTGTCTGTTAATATCCATTGACTAAAAATAGTATCCTGGATATAAACCTATTTCTCAGGCAATCCTAGAAAGCTTAAAGGGACACTCCAGAACCCTAAATCATTTTAGCTTGCTGAAGTGAAGTAAAGAGTGTGTACTCTTTTGTCATATTACAAAGATTGTAGATTTTAATAGAAATTGATCATATAACCTGGCTGTCAATCAGACAACTGGCCCTGTTCCTTCCTGGTTGTTTAGCGCAGTTTATTTGTGTGTGTGTGTGTATATATATATATATATATATATATATATATATATATATATAATTTATTTTTTATATCATGCATTAGAAAAATAGAAATTACTTCCAACCCCTGGTGCCACTTATTATATCTGAACATTTGATGAACAATTTTTAAAACAATGAACACATACAGGGTAATGTACTAAAGTGAGTATTGTTGGGAATTAAAGTGATTTTCAAATTTAAGAGCAAAAAAGATGAATAGCCAAACCAGCTATGCTTCCAGCTTGGCTATTTTGGTCTACAATTTCAAATTCTTTTTGAAGTCCTGGCAATTCTCGCTTTAGTGAATAGCTCTGTAATTATTTGCTGTTTTTGCTCTTGTTGACATGACCCCAAATAGATTAGTCAAACCATATTCTTTGATTCTGATACAAAGCTACGAGGAAGTAAAGCCCATGATGGCAACACTCATACATTAACACAGCAGTAAACTTGAATTTAAAAGTTACTATGTCTAAAGTCTAACCGGGTTATTCACCATAGTGAAAATTCAAAATAAATCAATGAGAATTTCACATTTTAGGCCAAAGTAGCTAAACTGAAAGCATAGCTGAGAATTGTTCCAATGTGGCTATTTTGGCCTTAAATTTTAGATTCGCCTTGCATTCTCTCTTTAGTGTATAACCCTGTAAAACATTTTTTTTTTAAACAAACATTTTATTGAAACCATGACAAAACTGGCCCAAAGGAAAGCAATTCCTACGGTACATGACTATTCTTGCTCTATCCCATTACAGTTACACTTCTCATTTTATGAAAAAAAAAATCCAATTAAAGTTCAGTTTTTATAGTGTCAGTGATTTTTTATGAGTGTTACAGCAGCACATTAATTTTGTAAACAGTTCAGATCAATAAGTAATAACCATCTCGAATGCTTACTAGGTGAGGTTTGTATGTTGGATCTTTACCCATTTTAATTTGGCTGAGGATATGTTTGGTTGTTATGATTAATGAGAATGGAATAAATCTGACCTGACATATTGAATTTAATTATTTTTTTTTTCTACTTCTGCTTACTTCCTGAAGTTTGCTAAATTCCCTTTACACTGTATAGTAGTGTACACAAACCAGAATATTGCATTGCTGAGTTCAATTCCCATGTCAGTGTATTTACCAGCAGGATATTATACAATACATAGTAAATTAAAAAAAAAAAAAATGTTCTGATCTAAGATACCTAATTAAAGGAACTGTATATCACAGCGCCTAATAACTTTCTATTTTTAAACAGTGTACTTCATCTTGACAGGTTTTTTTCCCTCTATTCATATACAATCATAAACTTTATATTTATCAAAGTTACTAAAACAACGATAAAGGAGAGTTGTTGTTTTTTTTTATATCTAACATGTTGCTAAGTAAAGTAAGTGAAATTACTAGATTTCGGGAGTTGTGTGATAATTTTCTATATGATTATCAACATATTTACACAGAAGTACAAAGGATTTTGTATTTTACAATATCTAAATATATATGATGAGTGATGTGTTTGTTTGTTTGTTTTTTACTTTGCAGGTATCCTGGAGTTCCTTCAGAAGTTCAAGAAGAAAAAGGATTAACTTACGTATTTCAGGTTTATAAAAGAATTGAAAATATCAAATCTTAATACGATTTGGATCAAGGTCTAGATTTATCAAGCTGTTACAAGAGCACATATGAATCCAATATATGAAGAAGGAACTGTCACAGATTTATTTTTACATTTCATTTAGTATCTGTCCCAGTGGACACACTCTATTTTTAAATAACTAATGGATGTGTTTATAAAATTTTTCTTTGGAAATAAAGAACCATTTTATATGAGCGGCCATTTTGATTGTTTAATATTTTCTATGTGCTTGTGCATTGTGCACTTCATTCATTTAAACTGTATCCTGTGTGGGTTATGAGGCCCCATTGACTCCATGGTGATTCATCTCTTGTGATGTTACATGGGATTTGTACAACTAATGATACTACGTGTAAAGTTGCTTGTGATCCATCTGTTCCTATTATTGTCTTTTCTGGAATAATCGCATTATATTCTCACTGCAATATTTAATTTTCATATTGTATTATTGCATGCTATAAAAATAATGCCACATTTAAAAAGACAGAGAATTATTTTGTAGTACATAGGAAATAAAACACTTTGTGTCTATTTTCATATATAGTTCCCAAAAAATTATAATAAAAAAAATTGGTTCATATCTCCATTTTTGTTATTGCCACTTTTTTTGTGTTTAAATTATTTTATGCATGCATGAAAGGGAGAATGATTGCATGTCCCTCATATAGAAATGTTGAAAATGTAATTTTGAATATTAGAAATTGTGGGAAATGTAAATCAGCTAAAAATAAATGCAATGTCGTATTCAGAGACACAGCAGTGATACTCTCTTATCTTGCTGGGTTTGTGTTAAATGTGCCAAATCTTATTTAGCAATAAGGACAAATAAAATTTGCATAAAAATGTAAACTGCCAGTTTCACTTAATCAAATAACGCAATAATAAATTGTTAAATTATATTCTCCTAAATATGTGGATTTATAATCTGAATATCCCAAGGCTAGCGTACAGTGTTTATAAAGTATCCTCCAACTCTTGCTTCCAAAAAAGAAAACAACAAAACACTTGAAAGTTTAAATTTAAAAATGGTGTGTGTATATATGTATGTATAGATATATGAGAAGTTGTGGAAGGAGTTACCCGGCCTATAAATACACAGACCTCCCCTTCTTCTGGGCTGAGACTGTCTGGTTCAGTACAGAACCATCTACTTCCGGTTCAAAAATGTCATCAACACAAACTGCCTAAACTCCAAACAAGCTGGTCTTGGCCTCGTGTGGCCCCACGCAAGTATTCATTTTACCTCACTCTAGTAAAAAACAACTGCCTCAGTCGAAGCTCATTGGGCACTGCCATGGCTTTTCCTGTTGCTATTTGCGTGTTTATTACAACAAAACCGTAAGTTTGTTCATTCAGCCCGGGTTGGCCCATGCTGTCCCGGACATTCAACATGTATTCCCCCCTATGTTCAGCCTTTCACTAACTAGGGAGGCATTTGCAGTTCAGTCTGTATTCTGCCCTCATTCGGCTATTTCAATTTATACTGCTAACGTGAATTTGGCCTATTTTAATCATACAGAGCATCATAGTTATACCTCAATTAGATTCATGCATTCTGCTTACTGTATTCGGCCCTCATCTGGCCATATCAATTTTATCATATGCAATCAATTTAGTCACTCTGCATTTTAATGTTTAATGCTATGCCATATATTTTGTTTTTCATATTTGGAGATTGTTATTGTCCGCCCATATGGCCTTGGTTTTACTTGTCCGCTTTGTACAGATCAGCATTGTTACTTATGTTCACCAGGCATCTTTCAGCTTCAGTACCTATATGTATTCTATAAGTCTGACCTCAAGGTATTCACGCACTCATTGGGCCTACATTGTTTAATAACTTTATGGCTAGGTGTTGCAACTGACTGTCTACATTTGTCAGGCCCAAACTTGGGCCTATACATGTGGTTAACATTTATGGTACTGCCTGTTAATAATTGTATTTCACAGTCCATCACTACTTACTTCACAGGCCTGGTTAAGTGCACTTTAACATAATTCACTTAGACACACACTTACAGAGATACACACACACTCATAGACACACACATTTACCACCAACACTCACAAATTATTATTTTTAAAATTTTATTTTAAATCCACCCAGCCTCCCAGGTAGAGCTGAAGTGGATTCCTTACCTGCGGTCCAGTGGAGCTGCTGGGTGGGCAGGCAGAGTATGAGTGATGCCGCGAGCCTGTAAAACCTTTGTTTCTTCTGTGTGTTTTACCAGTTGATTAAAATAATTATTTTATGTAAATATCTTCTTGGGTAAAAGGCTCGCAATGTTAATATACATCTATATTAACCAAAAATACTAACACACAATCTGACTTAAGGTTTTTTCAGGTTTATTCTTACAGTTACTGTTACATAATAAAAGAACAAAGGATAATGGATGTTGAACAGCAGATAGCAATTGCTGGACTCTTGAAAGGAGAGTTGGTCTACATAGTTAGACAGCCGGACAAGAAGAACAACCTTGTGCAGCGAGCAACAGCAAGACCTTGTGGTCTTTGTCCCATTTTCTATATAGTTATGACCATTATGATGTCAGACCGTTTACATTAGGCATGTGCATGGGAAAAATTTTCAGTTCGGGACTTCGGCAACTTCGGAATGTCTCTTGCAGCCGCTTGGTAGATAACTCCCTAATTCCCACCGTATTAGGGAGTTATCTACCAAAAGGTTGAAAGACCTAAATTGGTCTTTCAGCCAAATTTATTAATACTAAGTAAATATTACTTAGTATTAGTAAATTGTGCCCCTACTCGCTATACCGCGAGTAGGGACATGTCTATTAAACAGTGAGCAGCCAATGGCTGCTCACTGTTAAAAAAATAAAATAAAAAAATGGATCCCCCCTCCCGAGCCCCCACCCGCGACACGCGAGTGGGGGCTTTTAAATTAAAGGGGGGGCTATTGCCCCCCTGGCCCCCACCCCTGAGCAGCGGGTGGAGGCCCTAAAGTAAAATAATGGGGGGGACCTATCCCCCCACTTGGCCCCCACCCTTAAGCGGCGGGTGGGGGCCCTAAAGTAAAATAATGGGGGGGACCTATTGACCTCCCACCTCTGAGCGGTGGGTGGGGGCCCTAAATTAGAATGGGGGGGACCTAATGTCCTCCCCCTGAGCGGTGGGTGGGGGCCCTAAAAACTAATTAAAAACTTTCCCACGCTGGGTAAAATGACAAAGAGCACTCTGGTGGATTTCAAACCAACTAATCAGAGTGCTGTGACAGGTAAATGTAAAATGTAAAAGGAGACTTATCAGTCTCTTCATTTACCTTTCAGAGCACTCTGGTTGGATGGCTTAAACCCACCAATCAGAGTGCTCTGAGCCTTATTGCAGGGCAGGGCAAGGCTTTATAAGCCTTCCCCCGCCCTGCAGAGCTCAGTCTGCGCGGAGCCCTCGCCGGGTGAAGATGGATTATTTTTTATTTTTTTAACTGCGTCGGTTATTATGGCTTTTTATTTGGCCTTTTTTGAGGCTGAAAAAAGAAGATTTTAGAATAAAGAAAACATCAAATGGTAAGTTTTATTTTTATTTTTTCCAGGTACTTAGTTAAATGGTCACCCCTCATTATTTTTAGGGTGAGGGGGTAGGTAGGGGTTAATTTTTTGGGGGAGGGGGGTGACTAGGGGTTTGGGGACCCCTAGTCACCCGGGGGAGGGGGGGGTTATTTTTTTTTGTAAATTTAGGGCCGCCACCCACCGCTCAGGGGTAGGGGCCAGGGGGAAGGACATTAGGTCCTCCCTCCGCATTCTAATTTAGGGCCCCCACCCACCGCTCAGGGTTGGGGGCTGGGGGGGAAGATATTAGGTCCCCCCCAATTAGTATTTAGGGCCCCCACCCACCGCTCAGGGGTGGGGGTCAGGGGGAGGACATCAGGTCCCCCCATTAGTATTTAGGGCCCCCATCCACCACTCAGGGGTGGGGGCCAGGGGGAGGACATTAGGTCCCCCCATAATTAGTATTTAGGGCCCCCACCCACCGCTCAGGGGTACCAGGGAGGACATTAGGTCCCCTCATTACTTACATTTTTTTTTACAGTGAGCAGCCACAGGGCATAATTTACTAATACTAAGTAATCTTTACCGTGGGAATTAGGGAGTTATCTACTTATTCATTCCTGTCACTGACTGGCCAAGTAACTTACATTTTATATGAAAGTATGTTACTTGAGTGTTGCAAATGCTTACAGCTGAATCCTGGCTATGTTTGTATACTTTTTATTTTAAAAAAGTGTAACATTCTTCTTCTTCCACTGGCTAAGTATGTTAGTACTTAGGCAATACTGTGCTTCGGAACTTCGGCACTTCGACACTTCGGAAATTCGGTAATTTTGGAAATTCGGGACCTCGGTGATTCGGCACTTCGGCAATTCGCACATTCAGAAGTACCCGAATGTCCGAATTGCCCGAAATTCGTCCGAATTCATATTCGTCCCGAGTTCTCATGGTACAGCATAGCAAAGTACCATCTGTTCTTTTTAACCCACTAGACATCCATGCCTACTATGAATATAAGTAAGAACATAGTAATATTCTACGGACCCTTCTGACAACCTCTTTATTTCTGTATGCACATACTATATTAACACAAAAAAACAAGTCCTGCGCTCAAACTCACATCACTCCGTCAGTCCGCTAACCCCCTTCTTGTTGGCGCTAACCAATTCTTGTTGGCGCTAACCAATTCCCCTATTTGAAACGCCCCAAAAAAGGCCCAAGAAAACGCTACCCTAAACAACGCCACTTCGAACTTGGAAAAACATAACTCTGGAAGCTTGCCTATCAACCCTTGCAATACCGTGAACGAAACTGGCCTCCTCGCATCTCTTGTTTTCTTACCCTTCTTGAATCCCCGTACCGCTTGCTTCACTACAAAATGCTTTGTCACATCGTCCCAGCCATTGAACTTGAACAGGAATGCTAATGCTGACAAGTATAATATGGTACATATGGAATAGGGATCCAGCTTGTATCACTAAAACATAAATAAAAAATACAACATACTGTTGTGGTCTTATTAATTGCCCAATGGTTCAAGGTTACACTCACAGATTTGTTGTACATAGTAAGCTTTCAGGTTGCCACCCCTATAGGTAGGGGGGTAGGTCCTGTTCGTTTGTAATAACGCCAATCTGGAGACCAAGAAGTTCACACTCTCCCAATGGTTGAAAGTAGAAAACAATGGATTTATTGGCATATTGTAAAATTAAATTAAAATATGGTTAGTATATGCCAATAAATCCATTGTTTTCTACTTTTTTTATTTATGTTTTATTCATACAAGCTGGATCCCTATTCCATATGTACCATATTATACTTTTTATATAGTTACCATTTTAGGAGGTAACTGAAGGGAAGCAAGTATCCAAAGTTAAGTTTAACTTTTTATTCCACGGGTGATTTGGTGGAAGCTATTTTGTATTGTAATGCTGACAAGTGCCTATCCACCATCGATGGTGATGGTTTCTTCGCGAACAAGCGGCATAAAATCCACAACAGCACGTCCAGCCGATTGTTCGCTGAGCCCTCTGCCCCTAACTGTTGCATTGTCTCTTCCCAAACCTTCCAAACCTTAACATATGAGGACATATGAGGACGAAGTTCCAGGAAGCAAAGACTTCTTTATGTACTCCCCAAGCAGGACGTCCCGAGTTGCCACATCTCTGCTGGACAAGCTTGTCCCGTTTCCTCCACCTCCCGAAAACGCTCCCACTGTAAACGAGACAGCACATCAGCTACTACATTGGTCAGCCCCGGAATATGTCTAGCCCAAAACACAATATTAAACGACATGCATAAGAGTACTAGTTGTCTTAGCAACCGTACCACCGGCCACGATGAAGCAGATAACACGTTGATCACCTGCACCACTGCCATGTTATCTGAATCGAACACCACTTTCTTATTGGCGAGCTCCGAACCCCATAATGCAACCACTACGACCACCGGGAATAATTCCAAAAAACGCCATGTTCCTTATCAACGGGCTCGCTCTCCAGGCTTCCAGCCACCTCTCCGCGCACCATTTTCCCGCTAGATACGCCCTGAACCCGACGCTACCTGATGCATCAGTAAACAAGCCCACATCCTCCGAGGACCCCACAGCGTCCCGAAAAAACACTCTGCTGTTAAACTCTTGCAAAAAACTCGCCCATACCCCCAGGTCTTCTTTCATGTCTACCGACACTCTGATATAATGCGATGGTTTTTTCACCCGCTTGTCGCCCTCGCTAATTGCCTGCAGAAGACCCTTCCCATGGGAATTACCCGACATGCAAAATTAAGGCTCCCTATTAACGACTGAAGCTCTCGCAAGGTCACCTTCCTTGCCTTCCTAACTATGTCCACCAGTTGCCGAAGGGCATGCAGCTTGTCGCAAGGCAACCTGCATTCCCCCTGTACTGAGTCGATCTCCAACCCCAGAAAGCTGATGCACGTAGTGGACCCCACCGTTTTGTCCTCTGCTAACGGCACCCCGAACTCATGGGCCACCCACTGAAAGACCTGCAATATTTGACTACAGCGCTTCGTTCCCGGTGGGCCGACGCATAAGAAATCGTCAAGGTAGTGCACCACTGCACCCCCTGCCGATTCCCGCCGCATTACCCATTCCAAAAATGTGCTAAACCTCTCGAAGTAAGCACATGAGATGGCGCATCCCATAGGTAGACACAAGTTCACGAAATACCTCTCTTCGAAATAATACCCCAACAGGTGATGACAATCTGGGTGTATGGGAAGCAGCCTGAACACCGCTTCCACATCCACTTTCGCCATCAGTGCCCCGTGACCTGCTTTCCTTACCAACTCGACAGCCTTGTCAAATGATGTATAAGAAACAGAACACAGGGCTACGTCGATATCATCATTCACCGATGTCCCTTTTGGGTATGATAAATGATGTATGATGCGGAAGTTACCTGCCTCCTTGTTGGCCCCGCCATCCTCCCCAATTGTACTTCCTTGTACAACTTTTCTCGAGCTACCCCCGGATGCTCCCTTACCGACTGAAGATTCCCGCATAACTTACCCGGACCCTTATCCTGAAACAAAATCACGAAACCCTCCGTAAAACCTAGCCATAAGAATCTCGCCACTTCTTGATTAGCGTATTGTTTTAACCAAGGCAGCATCGCGCCTGCCCTCATCGGAGACGCCCCCAGCCACAGTTGTGGTGGCTGTTGAACCGGTGGGACCACCTCCCGCATTCGGTTTTCCTTTCTTAAAGCATCTTGCGACTCTGTGGTTACCCCCGCAACTGGAGCACTCATGCTTGAATCTGCATGATGCACCCCACTTGCACTGTCCCTCATTATAAAGCCAGCAAAAACCTTTCTTCTGTCCTGCCGACACGGTCCCGCTTGGGCCCCCGCCGGCCGATCCGAGAAAGGGAGCACTCTTTTGTACCATCATGAGCCTCATCCATAATGGCAGGTCCATCTGGTGCCACCGCATTGACGGATTTGCTGCCAGCCTCTGACGAAACTGTTCGTCATATCTCCACCACGCTAATCCCCTGTATGTCCGATATGCGTCCCCTATACCGTCTAAATAACAAAAAAGCTGCAGGCAGCGATCCGGGCACTTTTCCCTGATTACGCTCGCCAAAATACAAAAGGCCTTCAACCAGTTCCCAAAAGTCTTGGGTATCTTCCAATACCTCCGCCTTTTTTCTTCTTCCTCCTTCTTTGCATCCTTCTTATCCTCCTCTTTTAGGTCTAAAAACTCTAAGGGGAGTAGTGAAAACATCTCCACAAAGTCCCTTTTCCAAATTTTATCCTTAACCTCAGCTTTTAAATGACACCCTAATGGTCCCGCAAAGGAGACGTGCACGTTTTGCCGCACTGCGTCAGATATTTCCCCACACCGCTCTAATTGCTCCCCTGGTCCTTCTTCCGTCCTCTTAATCGGTTCCACGTCGCTCTTGCCCCCCCATTCTCTGCTGCCCCTATGGGTCTAAACCCCCGTGTCCTGACTGCCCTCCGCAGCCCACACCCTCCCGAACTGTGGAGATGACCCTGTTGCCCCAGACCATGTTTCTAATAGTGATTGTAAGCACCCCAGTAGACTCCCTGAATGTTGTGCAGTTGTTGACTCACCGCTGAAGCCCCCGGCCGCTGATGGCCGCCCTCCTTCTGTCCGCCTCGACCGGCTCCAGAGTATCCAGGGGATGCAGACTCCTGTCCGCTTGTTCCCGCCTTGATCTTGTGGGTGACCTACTTAGCGACCTGCAAGGAGAAGATAACCTGGGTAGTCTGTACGGTTGCAGCCTCACCCGCCCTTCTTCCCTGGGCTCCAAATTGTTCCTACTCCCTCCTCTGTGCCTTGTCAGCACCTCCCGTCTACTCCCTTTTGTCCTCCAAACTGTGTAACTCCTTTCTGATGACCCTGAAGCACTGCGCCGGTACCCTGACCTCCTGTCCCTGGAACTGGACTGCCTTCTACTGTTCCTGCTCCCCACTGTGCTCCTTTCCCTGCTCCTCTATCATTCAGCTGACTTCCTGATACTGCCGTGCCCATTCTCCTCTCTGCTCCGTATACCCCCATTGTCCCTCCTGCTCGCGCTCCTGTTGTCCCGCTGTTCCTGGGAGCGACCCCTGCGGGCCTATCGTGCCCTGCTATCCCGTGCACCTTCTTCCCGGCCATACCCTAGTTGTCTTGTACCTGTCGCTCCTGTCCACCTCTTTCCCTTTGTCTCTGTGTGCCTGGTTCCTCTCCGCTCCTGACTGCTGGCGTTCCTTTCTCTCCCCGCTCCGTTGACACTTGCCTCACTCCCACTCCTATGATTCTCATCCCTTTCTGTCCTTCACCTCATTCCAGCTCTGGCTGCCTCCTCCTGCCTCCCGCTGTCCTGCTCCCCTCCTGTGCCTTGTGGGACCGCTGTCAGTCTGCCGTCTGCTCCCTCCTCTCCCCCCTGCCCCTCAGTGCTGCCCCCAGGGGGCGACTCACTGGGACGCCTTGCATAGCTCCTGATTCCGTCTGTCTCCATCTCCCCCGACCTCTCCACGCTGACACCGGCTGTTTTCCCTGCTTTCCCGCCCACTGCCATCCGGCTGGGGTCACTCTTCCTGGCTTGCAACCTCGCCGGCCCGGTGCTGTGTCTGCTAGGCGGCCCCGGCCGACGACCTGCACCTTACTGCCTCCCGGTCACCGAAGACGAAGCTGCCACACTGCCCTCATCCGCTCTCCTCTTCCTCCACGCTGTTGGCCCAGGTCCTGGGCTGAGCCGCTGGGGCGGCCTTGATCTCCTTTCTGGCCGCCAGTCAGCCACCGCATGGGGGGAAGCAGACGTGCTCGGTGCCCCCAACTGCTCCTGCAGCCACGCCATGCCTTTTTCATCCACGATTGACCGCACTCCCTTCAGGATCTCCTCCAAGGACGCCATGCTGCACCTGAAAAAGAAGAATTTACAGGTAAGTAAGGCTCAAGTTAAAATGGCCATTCACTAAAATGGCCGCTATTTAACTTTCCCTTTACCCCACTCCCCCTCCATTACCATAGGTCAGCCCCCTGACCTAAATTTCACCTGCCTACTCCTGGTTCTGTCAAGGCCCACTCCTCCCTGCATTGCTCCGTGGTTTCAGTATAAGTAGCTACAGTACTTAGTAACATTTGCTGTTAGTGGCTCTTTAGTGACTGTGATCTAGCATAGATCCTGTATTAGATTTCTACTTTATCGTATGTTTTTGGTTTAATTTAATGGTGTCTCTTTTGCACTGATATTCACCAAGGGAGATTTTATATATATATATATATATATATATATATATTATCCAAAATTCTGGCACTCTTCCCATGTGACTTCAAACAAATTAAAAAAATTGACCAGGGTGCATTCTCAGTGCTCAAATATGTAATCAGAAAAAATGAGAGCACTCACTGGATTTGTAATAAATCTTATATTAAATCATGAGCAAAAAAGTAAATCAACGTTTCGACCGTCAAGCGGTCTATAGAAAACCATCAGACCGGAACACCCTTTTACAAGCAAACAGTTTTCATCCTAATGCTTTAAAAATGTCTTTACCTATTTCACAATTCTTGAGGGTGTTTAGAAACAACTCAGAGGAGATTACTTGCACATCTCAACTTCAGGATATGACCAGATCTTTTTTGGAACGAGGATACAAGCGCAATGTTTTACAGAATTGCCTCGAGAAGGCTGAAAGATTTTTTAAAGGAATAGAAACCAAACAAAGAACAAATCCAAATATTACAATTGCTTTACAATTCCATTCAGAAAGCCAGAGGTTTTCACAAATCATTAAAAAGAGATGGGATATAGTATCCTTCGATAAATTGCTGAATACCATATTTGCTCAGCATCCATGGATTGCATTCCAGCGCATCAAGAATTTAAAGGATATATTAGTGAAAACTGATACACCTAGTTGCTATATCACTCAGATGGAAAACGTAAAGAAAGGTTGTTTCAAGTGTCCAGGCTATGTCACTTGTGGACACATGCTTACAGGATCTTCATTTGCACATCCACATACAGGCAAACGGATTCAGATTAAACAACGTTTAACCTGCCTTAGTGATCATGTAATTTAACTTATTTCATGCCCTTGTGGCAAGTATTATCTAGGCAAAACAGACATGAAAGTACGAGACCGCATCCGGGGCCAAAGGTCAGGCATTATGACCAGGGCCAGATTAAGAGCCCAGTGGGCCTGGTGCTGACAATTATGACGGGCCTAATTACAGAATCATATCGACCAAAAACAGTAAAACACTCCCAAGCATCATGTATCTGATGGAGACAGTGGTGTATTTTAGATTTGTGCTGCCCTAGGCACGACTAAATTCGGGCACCCCAAAATCTAAATTTGACCCCACAATTCGTTTCAAGGCCACTTTTTTGACTGACAGACACATGCCCTCATTGATACATGCACTGATATACACTCACTGACAGATACAGTCATTGGCACACACATACCGTCATTAGCACACACTGTTTAACCAATACACACTTTCACTGACAGACACACACTGACACACCCACTCACTGCAGGCACACACTCTCAGATATACATAAAATGACATACACACGCTCACAGGCACACCCATTCTCACTGAAAGACACACACACTTTCACTCACAGACACACACTGACAGCTACACTCACTCACTCATTCACAGTAAGGTGGACAGCCCCAGAACACAAGGCAGGCAAGGCATTTGTCTGGCATTTTTTGGCACCCCTCCTGAAAGTGCCGCCCTAGGCAATTGCCTTGTTTGCCTTGTGGTAAATACATCCCTGCATGGAGATGGTGCTGGAGAGAAAGAAAACAGCAGCTATAAGAAAAGGCTAATCTCTCTCTAATTTATGTTTTCATCTTTCAAGTAAATCCATAACCCCTAACAGCAGTGTCCAGTCAGGCAGGAAGTCAATGGGCATGGTAAAAGGGTGTGCCACTGACACAAATCACGTAACCTGCCAAAAGGGGCAAACATGCCCAAAAAGAGGACATGTCTGCTCAAAGAATTAGAAGGCCAGCCTGGCATGAATGCATGTCAGGCTGCCTGCCAATCATGCAACTGGCCAACTAAGGGCATACTATGCAGACAGCACCCTGAGCTTGGCATAAATGCATCTAATGATGCGCTCACTCAACGCTTTCTAAGGACTGTCCCTAGCACTCGCTGGTCCACTTACCTTCTTACTAGCAGGCAGAAGCTCCTGGTATATGGTCTGGGACAGAGAAAAGCTGTATGTAGTGAGTGTAGAAGAAAGGGAACATGTCACAGTGTTAGAGAGACCAAAGTCAGCATTACCTTAAAGGATCACTATAGGGTCAGGAACACAAACATGAATTCATGACCCTATAGTGTTAACACCACCATCTAGCCCCCTGGGCCCCTCATACCTCCATAAATATAGCAAAATCTTACTATATTCAAGCCCAAAGCTGTAACTCTGCATGCTGTTAGACTCATAAAACAAGCAGTCTGCTGACATCATTAGAAGTGGTGGCCTGATCCAAGCACAGTGCTTCCCCATAGGATTGGCTGAGACTGACAAAGAGGCAGATCAGGGTCAGAGCCAGCATGATTCAAACACAGCCCTGGCCAATCAGCATCTCCTTATATAGATGAATTTAATTAATGAATCTCTATGAGGAAAGTTCAGTGTCTGCATGCAGAGGGAGGAGACACTGAATGTTTGGATGCATTTTAGGCAGCCATGACCCAGGAAGGATCTCTAACAGTCATCTAAGGAGTGGCCAGTGAAGTTATCACTAGGATGTAATGCAAAGACTGCATGTTCTCTGTGTTTACAGCAAAAAGCCTGACGGTAATGATTCTACTCACCAGAACAAATTCAATAAGCTGTAGTTGTTCTGGTGACTATAGTGTCCCTTTAACTATATTCATTGTCAGCCAGTCCACACACGTTTTGTTCCCATACATCCCACTTAAGTTTCCATACTTAAGTAAGAGTATGTGAAAAGTAGTTAGGTTTGCCACCTTTCTTGGAAAAAAAGGAGTGACATAAGAGAAAATGCTGTAAAATCACCAAAAAACTACTTAGTTTGATTCTGCTGTATAGATGGATTCCTCCCAGTGCTCCTATGTCTCCCAGTGTCCTCATGACTCAGTGCCCCATGTATCGATTACTCCAGGTCTCAGTGTTCCTATGTATCAGTGTCTCAGTGTCCCATGTCTCCCAGTGTCATGTCCCCAGGTCTCCCAGTGATCCTATGTATCACAGTGTCTCAATGCCCCATGTCTCCCTGTGTCCCTATGTATCCCAGGGTCCCCATGTCACTAGGACATTAGGAAGATGGGGAGACCTTGGGACACGGGGAGACCTAGGGACACGGAGACACAAGTGACACTGGGAGACTAGGGGACTCTGGCTGGGACACATGGGGACAATGGGAAAATAGGGGACACTTGAAGACATGGGGACACAGACACCAGGGACAAAGACACAAGAGACACTGGCTGGGGGACATAGGGACATTGAGACATGGGGGCACTGGGAGACATGGGGACACTGAGACACCAGGGCCACAGACACTAGGGACACTAGCTTGGAGACATGGGGACATTGTGACACTTGAGGCAATGAGAGACATGGAGGCACTAGGAGACATGGGGACAGTGAGAGACTGGGAGACTAGGGGGCACTGAGACACCAGGGACACTGGCTGGGAGACATGGGGACACTGTGTCCCCATGTGTCTGTGTCATAATATCTCCCAATGTCCCTTAGTGTCTCAGTGTCTGCCATAATATCTCCCAATGTCCCTTAGTGTCTCAGTGTCTGCCATAATGTCTCCCAATGTCCCTTAGTGTCTCAGTGTCTGCCATAATGTCTCCCAATGTCCCTTAGTGTCTCAGTGTCCCCATGTCTCCTTGCAGCCTTTCCCCATCCCTTACTTCCCTGAGCTGTAGGCTGTCTCTGCAGGGTGGGAGTTGCTGTCTGGACTCTCTGTAGCTGCACCCCTGCAGATCAGTGAGTATAGATAGGCAGGAAGGGATATGCTGGAACTTCCTATCCCTGCCTGTCTCCACACACACAGCGACCCCTACTGGCCAGTACTGGTATTGCAGAGTAATCTCTTGTTTATACTGAGAAAAATACCAGCATTTGTATTGCCAGTATCACTGCAATATTGGCACCAGCCAGGCAGCCTCAAATACTGGCTGTGCCAATACAATAAAAGCCAGGTGGAATCCCTAAGAGTAGTGTGTGGGGAAAAAAATGTAAAAAAAAAAAAAAAAAATTTTTTTTTAAATCAATGGGCCTATTCCATGGGCCTGGGCCTGGGCCTGGAGCTGCAGCTCCATCAGCCCCTATGTTAATCCGGCCCTGATTATGACGGCCATCGGGGTGGAAAGACTGATAAGCCTGTTGCGAAGCATTTTCTTGAGTTTCAACCTCGTTTACCAACTCTAAAATTCATCGCCATTGATCATATTCCACCATTGGTCAGGGGTGGTGACAGATCAAGGGCCTTATTACAGAGAGAGACTTTCTGGATTAAGAATCTTGATACGGTTCAACTGAAAGGACTAAATTAATATAATTCATTTAGCTGTTTTTTGAATAGTCGTTAAAATTATTTTTTTTATAAATATAGACTGCTTTCTGATTAGAAGTTATGGTTCATTTAGAGGATTTTGTGCAATCATATTTTGCTTTATTTTGTAATATTTTTATTGAATTAATTTTGGCAGCCAATGACAATAGGTATTTGGTTTAGATTAATAGCAGTTGTGCTATGTTTCTGTCACTATTTCACAGAATTAGACTCACAGGTGGTTGTTTAGTAATTTCTTTTCACATAGTGCTGTCACCTAGATACACTTGTTGCATGATTTTGGCTTGATCACTATGTATTTACAT